AGGCACCCACTGGCTGTTCCCCGCCTCTCTCACACACACACAAAAGCATTCATACACAGGGTTGGGCGGATTACTTGAAGAAATGAATCCCTTAATGATTACAGTTAGGCCTATATGAAAAAAAGTAATCAGTAACGTAATCCTTTGAATTACTCAAAATGAGTAATGCAATCCGATTACTTTTAGACCAGGCTTGTAGCGTTTAAAATAGTTTTATTTAATTTAGTAACATTATTTCCAATAGTGTAAGAACATAGAGATCCTATAATTCACATGTTCTAAGTGTGTGAGCATATAGGCTACACAGGGTTCCAAAATCTTGTCACGGTGGCCTATTCAAACTGGTTGAATGAATAGACACGGCTTCAAAACATTCACACCTGGCCCACTGGTCAATCAAATAAAAAACTAATGTCCGCAACTCTGGTATGCTCCCATGGTGATGTAATCAGACGCACAAAAAAGACAACGTTTCGATCCGAAGACATTTCGATCCGAGTTCGCATCGAAACGTTGTCTTTTTTGGGCATCTGATTAAATCACCATAGGAGCACAGCCTACCAGAGTTGCCGACATTCCTTTTTTCCTTGACGTTCTTCTGTCCTGCACCTGATAAATTGGATATGCACTTGTTTCTCTTTTGCACTGGTCAATCACACAATTGCCTGTATTCCATAAAGCTCCTGCCTTGCTTGCTGCTTTGCAGACTATTTAGACACTTTTGTACGCTGCAACCTGGACTCAGGGGTAGATGTAACATAGTAAACGTAAATCCGGGGTACTCCAATTAGTATATTATTTTTCGTATGGTATGTATTAATTTGTAGCTGTCCATCATCCATTTTGTATAAGATATCAATTTCAATTTGTCTGATATGTAACGAATTTTCTAATTGTATGATATGTTACGAATTCAAATTTGTTGTGACTAATGATAGCTAGGTGGCTAACGCTAATGTCAGCTAGGTGGCTAACGTTAACTATGCTAGGGTTAGGTTAAGTAGTTGCAAAGTAGCTAAAAAGTAGTGAGTAGTTGCAAAGTTGTTAAAATGCTAAAGTTGTCCGTGATGAGATTTAAACACGCAATCTTTGGGTTGCTAGACGTTTGCGTTATATGTTTTTGCCTTAAGTAACCTTCTGTCTTATGGAAGTATACTAAAGTTAACATATCATTCTATTTTGAGTGCCCGATTTACGTTTACTATGTTACTTCTAGTCTATGACACCAGGCTGCACCTTCGCTCTCATCCTCCTGTGCTCCCCGAGTAGGCCTGGCAGAACAGAACATTAGCCAATGTAATATGACAGCAGAAAAATTATGTAGGCAAATGAATCTCTATTGAAAAAAATTCTGAAAACTCGGGAGCCCTATTTAGGCAGTAAAATATAACAACAATAGCCTAATTGTCAAACCCAAAATCCATGACAATCACTGGTTTAGGTTGCACATCAAAATATCTTGAATCATGCATTCATGCTTGGATTAAACCATTTATTTAATCATACTATCTCAGTAGCAGGCCTACACTTCTTAATAAAGCACACTGAATGACTTTATAAGATTATTTCTCATTTGTTCTATTGTGTGACCTACAATAAGAAGCCATCGACCCTTGATGTCCCCTGTAGCTCAGTTGGTAGAGCATGGCGCTTGCAACGCCAGGGTTGTGGGTTCGTTTCCCACGGGGGGCCAGTATGAAAATGTATGCACTCACTAACTGTAAATCGCTCTGGATAAGAGCGTCTGCTAAATGACAAAAAAATAAAAAAAAGGGTGATCAGCAAGACAACAGAATCTTGATGAATGGTGAGACTTGAGGGTGCACTAAATGATGGCATTGCTGAGAAGGTTTCATCAAATATTCCTCTTGATAAAGTAATCCTAAATGTAATCAGCTGTTTTTAAGAATATAACTATAATCCGATTACTTATACATATATAAATATATACCTAATCCCCATTACGTGTAATCTTTTACTACCCAACCCTGCATACAAACACACACTTCCCAGTGAAAAAACACCGGGGCAGGGCACGTTCCACACTGCAGGGCGCATGGGTGCAACTCCAGGTTACCGGGGGTGTGTCTGTGTTCACTGCTCAGTGGGTCTCCGGTGTTCTCGAAACCACTCAATTTTTATTTTATTTTACCTTTATTTAACTAGGCAAGTCAGTTAAGAACAAATTCTTATTTACAATGACGGCCTACACCGGTCAAACCCGGACGACGCTGGGCCAATTGTGCGCCGCCCTATGGCGGTCTGGTGAACAGCCTAGGCTACTGGCCCCGTTTTCCAACCGAATAATAACTTGAGCCTTATGCCGCGTTCAAAACAACTGGGAACTCTGAAAAAAACGAGCTCCGACTAGGAAAAATTATTTTGAACGGTCATCCAACTCGGAATTCCAAGTCGGGAACTCCTGCCTCTTTCTAAAGCGCCGACCTGAAGATCACTGACTTCATGATTTTACCTCGTTTTCCCCCCAGAGTTCCCAGTTCTCTTGAAAGCACCATTAGGCCAACCGGAGTCAGAGGGCTTTCACACCAACATGACCGCTGATTCTACAGTAAAAGTAAACTGGGTCGCGTTCAGTAACCTAGGGTAGAGGCACGGGAAAAATGTTTTGAAACGTTTAACTGAACTTGAAGGTCAGTCAACAGTCAATTTCGATGTTCAAAATGTTTTTCTATGTTGTTGCTTAGGCTACTCTACTACTGAATATGACCCTGGGTTCTTTTCCCATTCCATCATACTGAGGTGAGATCCTATTATTGGGCATGTGAGGGCACGTTCCCATGAGAAGTATCACTCTCCCGCCATTTTCTCACCTGTCCTTTGTTTACAGGACAGTTCAGCAGCTGAAGGAAAGGAGAATGACACTTTCTATTAACTACAGGAGTGTCTTTTGATGTAATGGTTTGGTTTTTAAATATTTAACAAATAAAATGGTACAAATGGCAACAAGCTGAACTACACATAATTTACAATGAAATAATATTTGAAGGAGGTATTACAAAACACCATAATTATATAAATATGTATTTCCTGATCCATTACCCTAATAAAAACTTGATAAAAATTATCAGATTGTTGGTTTATTTGGTGGTTGTATAAACTATACCAGTCTATGAAAAGCTGTTCCCTTCTTGGAGAACAATACAACTATACTTATTTTATAGGGTTCAAGGTTCGTACTGTTTTATAAGTACATTGGCTAATCTAATCACTCTGCAGTGAGAAGGCTATAGATGTGCTCATAAATGATCAAACCAATCAAACATCCTAAATGTAGCTAGCTAGGTGACAACCACATATCAGCCATTGTTTAAAACTTTCCTCAAAGCAGTTATCAGTTCTCTCAGCTCAAGTAAGAAAAGACAAGTGATATACTTTGCATCTCCCTCACTCCATTCTTAGGTGTGGTGAGGGGGGATTATCAAATCCCATCTAACACTGCTCTGTGTGTTACCCAACACAAATGAGACACACAGACAAACAAAAACCACTCTAAATGACACTTCAAATTTTGAGTGTTTTTTTGTTCAGTTTTGTTTCAAAATAAAGACTCACACATCATTGTTTAGAGAGACAATCTACAACAGGAGTTACAAAAAATAGTTGCCCAGGCAATAAACATACACAGGTTTCTGTTATAACTATACACATTATGGTTACAGGTGGTGCTCCTATTCATATACACAAGGCTCGGTGCCCCAAATGTACACCACGTCGCTGCCGTCTGCCACAATGGTAATCATGGTTACAGAGGGCAAGACAGGCGACACCCGGTCTTTACCGGGGGACATGGAGATATATGATATGATACATCACTTTTACAGGACTATTATAGGTCAAAAAACAAAAACACACCACTCCTCTTTTCTGTACAACCCATGGTTTCACTCTACCCCCCCCTGAGAGAGGAGGGGGGGAATGGGCGGATAGAGGGGTTTGAGGTAGACTCAGAGATGACAGTACACAGTGGAGCTACTTCCTTCTTCGAGACATAACAACACAATTAATATATCATGCCTCAAGAGAAGAGCCAATAGTGATAGTCTTGGCAGATTTGAAATAGGTCATTGTTGATGTCTGCAAGCAGGAAGTCACTCCATTGTGTACGATGTCATATCACAGCGTCAACCTTTAAACTCATACCCCCTCACCCCCCTCCCCTCAGCATTCCTATAAAATATCTAAAAAACAAATACAGCTTCATGTTAAAGCAGACATGACTACTACTAACAGTGTGTCCCCTGTGGTGGTAACAACCCCCAAACTACACTGCAAACGTCTTGCGTGTTCCGTAAGCGTAATGTTTTTTGACTGCTACACAAGAGGTGGAAACCACTTTATCAGTTGTTTACACTTCAGTCAGACGCCACGTCTCTCTCTGCGTTTTAAATAGACTTGAAGTATAAAAAGACTCGCTTCACAACTGACGTGTTGGTGTAGCACGTCTCGTTGATTTCACTGGATTTGTTTCATCTGTGGCTTAAGGATGTTTAGTAAACGGACACGCCACGTTTGCAGTGTAATTCGGTGGTTGGGGAGGAGGTGGTATAGTTCAGGGGTTGGGGAGGTGTAGTTCAGGGGTTGGGGAGGAGGTGGTGAATTCTATTGAAGCAGTGCGTAGAAGGTCAAACCAGAGCGTTGGGGGGGGGGGGCTTTATACAAGTACTACGCAGTATAGAAAGGGCTTTTCAAAACAAAAAATTGATATTACAATTTACAATATACAACAACTCATATGTCACAACCAAGGAGGTGAGAATATACACTGAAATGCACAAGAGTTTTTCTAAGATGTGTTTTATGCGTGAGTTTTTTTTTTTTTTTTATATAGTCTGATACCAAAAAGGGTGGTAAATCACTTTTACATTACAAGGGTTTACAAATGTACAATTATACAGTCAGAAATGTGTGTTCACTACTAGGATACATTATAGATACAGATTCAACATCAAAAACCAGAAAAACTACAAAGTATATATATATATATATATATATATATGCAAAGGTCTACACCAAGTATACACGCTATATATAGAAGCAAGACCGGAAACTAATCTCCCATGCTAAATGATCTGTGTGCTGGTAAGCTCATGGCGTGCGTGTGTGTGTGGTGAGTAGCATGTGTGTGTGGTGTGCGTGTCTGTTATTGTACGGTGTGTGTGACTGATTTGGTGACGACGTCAGACAAATTAAATACGTTCGTTCCATCCCATAGTAGCGATAGGACATAGAAGTGTGTGGCCCGCAGCAGTAGCAAAAAAGTTAAATGATTCTAATTTATTTAAAAGACGAATAAAGGAAAACAAAAAAAGGGAGAAGGAATGGAGGGGTGGGACGCATCTCACCTCCCCCTCACCCCTCTGCCTCCCCCTAAACAGCTCCACTATAGCAGAGTAGGGCTTGGGTTGGGGGAGGGGCTAAATTAACCAAGGCTTCCTGTTTAGACAGGCCACTCCCAATGGGCTACCATGGGGATAAGAGTGAGCAGGAGGGGTTGGAGTAGGTAAAGAGGGTTCTACATGTCATCATTGGGGGGTAGGATAGTAGTTTACATTATCTCATTAGGAGGGGAATAAAGGGGAGGAGGGGGTATAGGGTTTAGGGTGTAAGGGTGTCAGGAATAATGGGGTAAATATGGATAGTAGTTTACATGATGCCATTAGGCGGGCCACTCCGTTCTTCATGTAGGGTATAGGCCAGGGGTTATGGTACAGAAGACAAGACATTCCAATAAAACTTCAGCTGTGCACAGAGGGTGGCCGTCCTTTATGTTGAATGGCCACCATTCCTCGACACCCAGCAGGTGATCTACTGCACACGGCTGACGTTCCTGTTGGTCCGTCTTGTCCTTAAGGGTTAGGGTGTAAGGGTGTAAGAGTTAGGGTGTAAGGGTGTAAGGAATAAGGGGGTGTAGGGGTAGTAGTTTACATGATGCCATTGGGAGGGCCACAGAGAGGACCCAGGTCTACTCCATTCTTCATGTAGTATTTCTCCAGCTTAGCCAGGATGTGTTTGCCATACGTATACTTCCTCAGGGTGGAGATGTGGGGCCGGATCTGATGGGGCGAGAAGGGGAGAAATACGTACACACACAAACAATTGCATACCATTTATACATATATTTTTAGAGCTTTGAGATAACACTAATGAAAAAGCGCTATACAAAATAAATGTATTATTTATTATATTCCCTCTCTTTACGTCGCTCACACACACACACAAACAAACTGCTTCTCTCTTTCTCTCAAACACACACTGTTTCACACAAACAGGTCCCAACCTTGTGCATGACGATCTTCCTCTGTGTTGGTTCGGCCACATCAATCATCTTCTGAACCACGTAGTTGGCGTACTGGTCCTTCATCATGGTGTACAAGGCACTGTGGGGCCCCTCCGTCAGGCTACACACCTCGTCTATCAACACGGCCCGCTCTGCACGCGACGCATGGCTCACACACTTCTCCACCACGTTACTGCAGAGAGTAAGAGAGGCTGGGTTAGCCACTGATTCTGCATGGCCTTTTGCGGTCTAGGCCAGGTTAACTGTAACTTTGTGACAACCGCGGCTATAAAAAGGGTTTATTAACAATGTTCCATATATGCTGCGCGTGGGCATGCAGCTCTCCCGGGACTGTCGCGCAGAATAAATATCAGCCCGCGCAGAGAAGCACGAGACTAGACTTCACTCAACTTTCTAGTTTTCCCCTTTAGTTAACACTATCAACGTTTCCCCTCTACTGTGGGAATTGTGATCGAATCAACTCAATATTAGCCACTTTCAATGCAACATACCGAAACAAAACGAACTGTGCAAGATATTTTATTTTAGGCAGAGCGCATTGGATGTAGGATTCTATTGCATTGACAAGCATGACTCAGGCCCATACTCTACACAGACTGGTGTGCCAAACCAATCAGAGCTGCAGTAGGCCTATATGCAAATAGACCATTGCCATATATGGATCTGTGCCGTTCACTATGAGCTGGACTGTTACAGCATGAGTGGCCGTGAGTAGATTAGCTTGTTTTAAGATCAAAGTGAGAGCTGCATGTAGCCACGTGTGCACATTTGTTCATATTCTTTGCTATTAAGTGAGTTATTAGCCCAGTTATAGCTAATTTCTAGTCAGCAATGGGGGAGTGGTTGCTTCCTACAAGAGCACAAAACGTATGCATTTCTAGCCATCTTTGAAAAGCAAGTCAAGTAAATTGCCCCTTTTAAGACAGAAAAAAAGCTATGTTGTATTTTGAGACAGGCTTGAGTAGCCAATAGGCAGAGGGTAGCATCATTGTCTGATTCTCTGTGATAATGGTATGGGAATAATAATACATTTTATTTTGTAAAGTGGTTTCTTGCATCAAACATGTTCAGTCACCTCCTTGTCTGAAGGACTAGTGGATAAACAGGTTAATGTCAAGCCCTGCATGTTGTTTTCAAAAGTCTCCTGGAATGTAGGCCTACATTGAACACCACACATTGGCTGCTACTGTAGGCTGAATGATAGAACATTTATGTCCATGTTAAAATGTTATGGGATGCATTTTCTCCATAGTTTTTTAATGGTAGGCCACTCTGGTAGGCCTACATTATGATCAAATAGCCACAGTAGCCTACATGGCCAATGTTATAACTGTAACTTAAAGTGGGTACAGCCTCAGTGTTCACAGTAAACGCGTGCCAGAAGTTGCACATAATTTTCTAACATTCAAGCTTGTGCTCAGCAGACTTGAAATTTGCTCAATGCCGAAAAAATGATAAACCAATGTGATTGATTGATGTGCGAGTGTGTACCTGGCGAACTTGTGTTGGCTGAGCCCCAGAACGTTTCCTCTGATCTCAGCTACTATCTTACTCTTATCCTCCGCTCTGCCGTGTTCTAACACATGCTGGATCACATAGTTACCATATTGGTCCTGGACAGACAGACAGACAGAGAGACAGACAGAGAGAGAGAGAGAAACAGTTACACACTGAGTTTTGCATTTACGTTAGCTACATGACAAGGCTGAACATTTGTTTCAAGCAGTTTCAAATTCTAGAAGTTTCAGCCTTAAACACAATACAGAATGTCAGTGTAATGACAACGTCCTGATCTGGACATCAGCAGATGCAACAAAATGTCTGGTCAAACCGGTGGTGTGCGCATCTCTGTGTTTTACCTGCACCAGTTGTTCAGTGTGTTGGTGCAGCTCCTCCAGAATGGGCAGGGTCTGGTCTGGAAGGCAGTGTTCTAGAATACGCTGGATCACTCTACAGCCGTAGGGGTGGGTGGAGAGGGCAAACACCTGCAGACACACACACACACGTTATACACCGGCACACACACACCTTAACACACCTTAAATCTCTGATGACTCATTCACACACCCACCACCCACACACTCCAGTGAAAGACTGATACAAGCCAATTCCCGATGACCTACTTAACCATTTAGACAAACAATCACTAACATTTACACAACTAGCTGTCTGATGTGTGGGAATGTAAAACACAGGAATGTGGAAATTGATACAATTGAAAAATCCAAGAGCCCAATCCAATACAGACAATCTTTGTGTGTGCTGAAAAATTACTCACTCTCCCACAGTCAGCTAAGCACAGGCACAATAATCTCTTTACAAACACACTCTTTATGATCATTTTGACATGTAGCCAGTGGATGGAAGATGGCTGCCACTGGGCTGCTGTTGCCATTACCATGGTGACCCACCTGTCCCCTGCAGGCGATGATGATGGTGTGTGTGTGTGTTCGCGTCACCTACCTGTCCCTTGAAGGCGTCTATGATGAAGTGTAGTGCGTGGGGCTGAACACACTCAATACACTTCTGCACCACGTGGTTCCCGTTCTGATCCTTCACACACTTCAACACATGGCCGTCCAGCTCCCGCACCATCTCACTCTGCAACACACACACACACACACACAGGGTTAGAGATAGATAAACACACCAACGCACACAGTCTACAGTTGCTCTTTGCTTGGAGGTTCCTCATACATAGACATGGACGATGTGCACACACTCGGCAGACTCTTATCTCCCTCACTAACTTTAAGCATCAGTTGTCAGAGCACCTTACCGATCACTGCACCTGTACACAGCCCATCTGAAATTAGCCCACCCAACTACCTCATCCCCATATTGTTATTTATTTTGCTAATTTGCACCCCAGTATCTCTATTTTCACATCATCTCTTGCACATCTATCATTCCAGTGTTAATACTAATTGTAATTATTTTGTACTATAGCCTATTTATTGCCTTACCTCCATAACTTGCTACATTTGCACACACTGTATATATTTTTTCTGTTGTATTTTCGACTTTCTGTTTTGTTTTACCCCATATGTAACTCTGTGTTGTTGTTTTTATCGCACTGCTTTGCTTGATCTTGGCCAGGTCGCAGTTGTAAATGAGAACTTGTTCTCAACTGGCTTACCTGGTTAAATAAAGGTTAAATAAAAAAATTAAAAAATAAAGTACAATACGTACTATAACTTGTTGGTCTGAGGGGATGAACTCCAGGGCCTTCTGTATGACTCTACAGCCGTACATTTGCAGGGCCAGAGACAAGACATGACCCCTGATCCTCTCTGCTAGAGCCAGCTTTTGGTCCAGACTGCCAAACTACACAAACAGAGAGAGAGGGGGAGAAGAGAGAGAACAGTTAACACACACACTTTTTGATGATGTACAGTGCCTTCAGAAAGTATTCACACCCCTTGACTTTTTCCCATATTGTTGTGTTACAGCCTGAATTCAAAATTGATTAAATTGAGATGTGTCACTGACCTACACACAATACCCCATTATGTCAAAGTGGAATTATGTTTTTAGAAATGTTTACAAATGAATTACAAATGAAAAGCTGAAATGTCTTGAGTCAATAAGTATTCAACCCCTTTGTTATGGCAAGCCTAAATAAGTTCAGGAATAAAAATGTGTTTAACAAGTCACATAATAAGTTGCATGGACTCACTCTGTGTGCTTAATATAATTTTTTCAATGACTACCTAACCTCTGTACCCCACACATGCAATTATCTGTAAGGTCCCTAAGTCAAGCAGTGAATTTCAAACACAGATTCAACCACAGACCAGGGAGGTTTTCCAATGCCTCGCAAAGAAGAGCACCTATTGGTAGATGGGTAAAAATACAAAAAGCAGACATTGAATATCGCTTTGAGCATGATGAAGTTATTAATTACACTTTGGATGGTGTATCAATAGACCCAAAGATGCAGGCGTCCTTCCTAACTCAGTTGCCGGAGAGGAAGGAAACCACCCAGGGATTTTACCATGAGGCAATGGTGATTTTAAAACAGTTACAGAGGCCTCTTGTGTGGCGCAGCGGTCTAAGGCACTGCATCGCAGTGCTAGAGGCGTCACTACAGATCCGGGTTTGATCTCGGGCTGTGTTGCAGCCAGCCGCAACCGGGAGACCCATGAGGCGGCGCACAATTGGCCCAGCGTTATCCGGGTCAGGGGAGGGTTTGGCCGGCCGGGATGTCCTTTTCCCATCGCGCTCTAGCGACTCCTGTGGCGGGCCGGGCGAATGCACGCTGACACGGTCGCCAGTTGGACGGTGTTTCCTCCGACACATTGGTGCGGCTGGCTTCCGGGTTAAGCGAGCAGTGTGTCAAGAAGCAGTGCGGCTTGGCAGGGTCGTGTTTCGGAGGACGCATGGCTCTCGACCGTCGCCTCTCCCGAGTCCGTATGGGGGTTACAGCGATGGGACAAGACTGTAACTACCAATTGGATATCACGAAATTGGGGGGAAAAAGGGGGGTAAAAATGTATAAATAAATAAAACTGTTAAGAGTTTAATGTCTGATAGGAGAAAACTGAGGATGGATCAACAACATTGTAGTTACTCCACAATACTAACCTAAATGACAGAGTGAAAAGAAGAAAGACTGTAAAGAACAAAAATATACCAAAATATGCATCCTGTTTGCAATAACGCACTAAAATAATACTGCAAAAAAATTTGCCAAAGAAATTAACTTCATGTCCTGAATACCACTCTTCATATTTTCAAGCATGGTGGCGGCTGCATATGGGTATGCTTGTCATCGGCAAGGACTAAGAAATTTGTTAGGACAAAAATAAACAATAGAGCTAAGCACGGGCAAAATCCTAGAGGAAAAGCAGGTTCAGTCTGCTTTCCAACAGACACGGAGACCTTTCAGCAGGACAATAACCTAAAACACAAGGCCAAATATACACTGGAGTTGCTTACCAAGACGACATTGAATGTTCCTGAGTGGCATAGTTACAGTTTTGACTTAAATCTGCTAGAAAATCTATGGCAAGACTTGAAAATGGCTGTCTAGCAATGATCAACAACCAACTTGACAGAGCTTGAAGAATTTAAAAAATAATAAAATGGGCAAATATTGTACAATCCAGGTGTGCAAAGTGCTTACAGAGACTTACCCAGAAAGACTCACAGCTGTAATCGCTGCTAACAGCGATTCTTAAATGTATTGACTCAGGGGTGTGAATACTTATGTGAACAAGATATTTCTATATTTCATTTTCAATACATTTTAAAATTATTTCTAAAAACATGTTTTCACTTTGCCATTATGGGGTAGTGTGTAGAAAAAAAAATCTATTAATTTTGAATTCAGGCTTTAACAACAAAATGGGGAATAAGTCAATGAATACTTTCTGAAGGCACTGTAGCGGTCAAAACACACAATTTACACACAGAGACAGGCCTGTTAGAAATCAACCCCCCCCCCCCCCCCCATACACACACACACAACTCAAAGAACTTCTGGATTAGGTACCTGGCAAAAAAACACACAAATTGCTCACACACACACAGACGGGTCTGATACAATCATAATGTGTTCACAAACCTCAAAGAACTTCTGGATGACGTAGTTTCCGAAGACATCGACCATGAGTTGATAGGCAGCCTGGAGGATCTCACTAAAGACCAGCTGACGCTCTGCTGAGCTGGCCCTCTCCAACTTCAACTGGATAAACCTGGAGAGGGGAGAGTTATTTTCATTATCATCTTTGATTCAACATGTTCCTATATATCTGCATTGGCAATGTAAGCTCCAAAACGTTCCATGCCAATAAAGTGTATTGAATTGCATTGAGGGGGGTGAGAAGAAAGAATGGGGTGAGAAATAAGGAGAGGGGGAGGAAAGAGAGAGACAGGAGATAGGGATGAGGAGAGAGATGAAAGACATGAAAGAGAGGGATTGACACCACAGTTTATAAATAGAACATTCCAGTTCTAAAAGTCTGCCTCCCCTCACGTAGGTAGGCCCAGCATCCAAGCAGACAACATCTGGAGTCAATCAATGAGGATAAGACAGTAGGTCTATGTTTCGGTACTAGTGTTTGGTACTGGACAGGGGTGATGAGATTAGGGCTGAGAGATTATTTGTGCTGTCTACGTCTCTCTACCTGCTGCCATGCTGGTCCTGGCTGAACTCCATGATGTGCCCAGCAATCTCTCTCAGCTGCAGGTTGGGGTAGCGGTTATTCCGGAAGTCTTCCAGGAGCCGGCTCCGCCCTGACGGCATCACGTCCGACATTCCGTAGCGTAGCCGTGACGACGGGAAGAGCTGGCTGCTGGGAGAGAAGAGTGATGAGCCAGAACTGGCGCTGCGATACTTCGCCTCCGCACCCGGAGCAGCAGAGATGAAACGACCGCTGCCATTGGTCAGACCTCCTGGGGGAGGGGTCAGAGAGGAGTGATGTTAGTACTGATTGGATAACATAATAATAACAATGATAGAATGTTATAATAACACTAACTCCAAAAATACAATGCAAGTTTTATGTCAGCATGTAGACTTCGTCACTCACCCAGGTTGAGGTTGGATGAGGAGCTGTGATTGGACAGAGAGGGGGGTGGGGTTAGGGAATGGGAGGGGCCTTGGTTGGGCAGGGGCATTCCAACAGGCCCGGGGGAGGAGCTAAAGCCCAGGGTTCCGTTGTAGAACCCCCCATGGCCAATGGGAGTGAGACTCGACTGTGTGCGTTTGTACAGGTCACTACTGCCGGTCAGAGAGTCACGACGAGAACCACTGCCACCGCTGGAGTTAGCCACTGGAGGGAGACAGAGAGACCATTAAAACACACACACACACACACACACACACACACACACACTGCTGTCACTATAGTTGGCAAGTAGAGGGAGTTATACACACAGACACAGAGGACAGCAGGCTACAGATAGTTAAACAGAGTGAGAAGCCTCTCCATCCAGTCTACTGAGTACCAGCCTTGGGTTGCACATGGAGAGAGGGAGAGAGATTTGAGACAATAAAACATCACACACACACACCTGCTGTCCCAAAGCCTCCTAGCGTAGCTCCCAACGTTGCTCCCAGTGAAGAGTTGCTCTGACCAAAGCCCAGAGAGGCGGAGACAGGGCCTGGCTGGGCGGAGCCTGTAGAGAAAAGAACATATCACCTTCGTTATCTTGGAATCTAAATGGTAAATTAAATAATATTTGCACACACATTTTGGCCACGTTCCAGGCTGACTACATTGCAGACGCCTGTTAGATCTCACGTCTGAATAGGTATTTGACATATCAACTAAACACATTATGATATAGGAATATCAAATCAAATCAAATTTTATTGGTCACATGCGCCGAATACAACAGTGAAATGCTTAGAGAGAGAGAGGACAATGAAACAGCATGCAACCATTGCAATGGCTGCAATGTAGTTAGTCTGGAACACAACATCTGTCAAGTCACCCGTTTTGTTTTCACTCACAGTACGTTGTTTGGCTACCTTGAGAGAAGAGGGAGGAGCTTTGGGAGGAGTTGCTGAGAGAGGAGGATCCATAAAAGGAGTTTCCTGACATAGCCCCTCCCCCCTGCTGCTGAGGCTGCTGGGATTGCATGCCTCGGAACTGACCATTGGCCCCACCTCCCATACCGCCATTAGCCCCACCACCTGCAGCTGCTGCAGCCGCCACTGGAGAGGGAGAGAGAGAGAGGCAGAGCGAGAGAGAGAGAGAGGGAGTGGGGGGGGGGAGAGAGAGAGAGGTAGAAGAGAGAGATGGAGAGAGAGAGAGACGGAGAGAGAGAGGACAGAGAGAGAGAGAGGACAGAGAGAGAGAGGACAGAGAGAGAGAGAGGACAGAGAGAGAGAGAGAGAGGACAGAGAGAGAGAGAGGACAGAGAGAGAGAGAGGACAGAGAGAGAGAGGACAGAGAGAGAGAGAGGACAGAGAGAGAGAGAGGACAGAGAGGACAGAGAGAGAGGAATAAAGCGTCATAAGGGAGTGAGAGTTTGATGGGCTGAAGAAGTGATGGAGAGATACTGTATTAGGGTGATTGAGTGATAGTAATGCGTGAGATGGAGTGATAGTGTAAATGGAGGAGTGTGTTACCTGCTTGTGCAGCGGATGGAGAGATAATAACAGAGCCTGCGGGGGCCATGAGGCGTACGGGTCCGCCCCTAGATCCTGTGTTGACCACTAGCGCCCCCGTCTGGTCATAGTAGGCAGCTGGAGCCAGCATGGGATAGCCTGCAGAGAGAAACACATGGGTTAGACCAGCGTTTCCCAAACTCGGTCCTCGGGACCCGAAAGGGTGCACGTTTTGTTTTTGCCCTAACACTACACAGCTTGATGAACCCTTGGGGTCCTGAGGACCGTGTTTGGGAAACAGTGGGTTAGACGTGTGTGTGTGTCAGGGATTCCGTAAACCGGTAATTGCCGGCTTTTGGCCAATACAAAAATGAAAAGCGGTAAGTAAAATTGTTGTTGGCCAAATTGACCGGGAGAAGAAAAAAAACAATCCCATTGCTAAATAATGCTTCTTAATTAATTGATGGAAATACCAGTCAATGGAAATACATTTGACAGTCATGCTTATCGGTCTAAAGGTTGATTTGCATAATTTTGTGGAATGAAATTAGAGCGTGTGCATTTTCCTTAGTCTATTTTATCACACACGCACAGCCTAGAGAGTCACAGCCTAGAGAGTCACAGCCTACAGAGAGTCACAGCCTACAGAGAGCCACAGCCTACAGAGAGTCACAGCCTACAGAGAGCCACAGCCTACAGAGAGCCACAGCCTACAGAGAGCCACAGCCTACAGAGAGCCACAGCCTACAGAGAGCCACAGCGAGCCACAGCCTACAGAGAGCCACAGCCTACAGAGAGTCACAGCCTACAGAGAGCCACAGCCTACAGAGTCACAGCCTACAGAGAGCCACAGCCTACAGAGAGCCACAGCCTACAGAGAGCCACAGCCTACAGAGAGCCACAGCGAGCCACAGCCTACAGAGAGCCACAGCCTACAGAGAGTCACAGCCTACAGAGAGCTACAGCCTACAGAGAGCCACAGCCTACAGAGAGAGACTATTTTGGGCGCAATATCACCTCAGCAATAGAGCTGCTGGAGTGAAATGTGCTTTTATAAGCCCAGTCATTGTGCAACAATTCTAAATGCAATAACATATTAAAAACTGGTTTGATCGCCACGATTAAAACAAGCTACTTTTTATTTCTCAACTAGTAATTGAAGCGCGCCTTCCATTCGCCATTCAAGTGCAATAGGCAACGATGTGCATGTTATCAGCGCGTCACCCACCACTTTGCAATGTGAGCTGGAGGCAGTACGCATTTTGAAAACGGAACATTTCACTTCATATTATGAGGCATGTCTAACCTTGCTTGAAAGTAGTCTAGGGAATTACTTTATAAAGACTTCCTTTCATATGCTACAAACCAGCATTTATCTTGTTTGGATTGGTTTTCCTAATCACCTTTCTTTGGTTGTCCAGAGAAGCCAAAGGCACAATCCTAGCCATATTAGCAAACCATCCTAGTTGTTGCATCTTTAGATTCTCCCTCTTTCTAAGTCTCTAGCAGAGATTTTCATCAGGTGCACTGTTTAGAATGGTGTTTTCCCGCTAATTGCATTTTGGCAAATGTTAGAAAATTGGCTGGTTCATTACAGCAGTTAAATATTCTGTTAAGATTCTAAATGTGATTTGTCATTCTGAGCACAGTCGGTGGACACCCTAATGGGTTGCACACCTAATGCATATGGTTCAGGTAAATTTCTGAAATGGCCGGTAAATGAAAATATTCCCGGTCACGTTGCACAGTGCAAAATTGTTCTAACAGAAACCGGGGTGTGTGAGTTTGTGCATATGCGCATGCAGGCACAAGTGTGTGAGTGTCTGTGTGTGAGTGTCTGTATGCGCGTGTGTGTGTGAGTGTCTGTATGCGCGTGTCTGTATGCGCGTGTGTGTGAGTGTGTCTGTGTGCGCGTGAGTCTGTGTGCGCGTGTCTGTGTGTGTGCGCGTGAGTCTGTGTGCGCGTGTCTGTGTGTGTGTGAGTGTGTCTGTGTGCGCGTGAGTGAGTGTGTCTGTGTGCGCGCGAGTGTGTGTGTGAGTGTGTCTGTGTGCGCGTGAGTGTGTGTGTGAGTGTGTCTGTGTGCGCGTGAGTGTGTGTGTCTGTATGCGCGTGTGAGTGTCTGTATGCGCGTGTGAGTGTCTGTATGCGCGTGTGAGTGTCTGTATGCGCGTGTGAGTGTCTGTATGCGCGTGTGAGTGTCTGTATGCGCGCGTGAGAGTCTGTATGCGCGTGTGAGTGTCTGTATGCGCGTGTGAGTGTCTGTATGCGCGTGTGAGTGTCTGTATGCGCGTGTGAGTGTCTGTATGCGCGTGTGAGTGTCTGTATGCGTGTGTGTGTGAGTGTCTGTATGCGTGGGTGTGTGTGTGTGTGTGTATGTATGCGTGTGTGTGAGTGTCTGTATGCGTGTGTGTGTGAGTGAGTGTCTGTATGCGTGTGTGTGAGTGCGTGTCTGAATGCGCGTGTGTGAGTGCGTGTCTGTATGCGCGTGTGTCTGTATGTGTGTGTGTGTCTGTGTGCGTGTGAGTGTCTGTATGCGTGTGTGTGTGTGTCTGTGTGCGTGTGTGTGTGTGAGTGTCTGTATGCGCGTGTGTGTGTGTGAGTGTCTGTATGCGCGTGTGTGTCTGTGTGCGTGTCTGTATGCGCGTGTGTGTGTGTGTGTGTCTGTGTGTCTGTATGCGTGCGTGTGTGTCTGTGTGCGTGTGTCTGTATGCGTGTGTGTGAGTGTCTGTATGCGTGCGTGTGTGTGTGTGTGTGAGTGTCTGTATGCGTGCGTGAGTGTGAGTGTCTGTATGCGTGCGTGTGTGTGAGTGTCTGTATACGTGCGTGTGTGTGAGTGAGTGTCTGTATACGTGTGTGTGTATGCGTGTGCGTGTGTGTATGCGTGCGTGTGCGTGCGTGTGTGTGCGTGTGTCTGTGTGCGTGTGTGTGTCTGTGTGCGTGTGTCTGTGTGCGTGTGTGAGTGTCTGTATGCGTGCGTGCGTGTGTCTGTGTGCGTGCGTGTGTCTGTATGCGTGTGCGTGTGTCTGTATGCGTGTGTGTCTGTATGCGTGTGGTGTGTGTGTGTGTGTGTGTGTGTCTGTGTGCGTGTGTGTCTGTATGCGTGTGTGCAGTCTGTGTGCGTGTCTGTGTGTGTCTGTTAATCGTGTGTGTGTGGTGGTTTGTCTGTATGCAGTATGTGTGGTGTGTGTGTGTGCGTGTGTGTGCGAGTGTCTGTATGCGTGTGTGTGTGTTGTATGCGTGTGTGTGTGGTGTCTGTAGGCGTGTGTGTGGGAGTGTCTGTATGAGTGTGTCTTAGCGTGTGTCTTCTGTATTGCGTGGGTTCTGTATGCGTGTGTTGTGTGTGTATGTATGCGTGTGTGTGTGTCTGTGTGAGTGTGTGTGTGTATGTGTGCGCTGTGTGGTGTGGGTGTGTCTGTGTGCGTGTGTGTGTTCTGTCATGCGTTGTGTTGCAGTCTGTGCGTGTTGTATGCGTTGTGGGTGAGTGTCGGGATGTGTGTATGTGTGTGGTGTCTGTATGCGTGTGTGTGTGGTGTCTGTATGGTGTGTGGTGGAGTTGTCTGTATGCGTGTGTGGTAGTGTCTGTATGCGTTGTGTGAGTGTCTGTATGCGTGTGTGTGTGTCTGTTGCGTGTGTGTAGTGTCGTGGGTGCGTGTGTGTGAGTATGCGTGTGTGGTTGTGTGTGTGTGTGTGTCTGTATGCGTTTGTGTGTGTGTGTGTGCGTATGTGGTGTGTGAGTGTTGATTGTTGGTGTGAGTGTCTGTATGCTGTGTGGATGTGTGTGGTGTCTGTATGCGGTGTTGTGCGTGGTGTCTGTATGCGTGTGTGTGGTGTCTGTATGTGTGTGCTGTGTGTGGTGTGTCTGTGTGCGTGTGTGTTGTGCCTGTATGGCGTGTGGTGCAGTTGTGTGCGTGTCTGTGTGTGTCTGTTGCGTTTGTGTGGTGTGTGTCTGTATGCGTATGTGTGCGTGTGGGGTGTGTGTTGTAGTGGTGTCTGTATGCGTGTGTGTGTCTGTATGCGGTGTGTGCAGTGTTGTGTGCGTGTGCGTTGTGTGTTGTGGCGAGTGTCTGTATGCGTGTGTGTGTCTGTATGGTGTGGCGTGTGTGTGAGTGTCTGTGTGTGTGTGCTGTATGCGGTGGTGCGGTGTCTGTATGCGCGTGGTGTCTGTAGTGGTGAGTGTGTGTGTGTTGTGTGAGTGTTGTGCGTGTGTGGTGTGTGCGTGTGTGTGTGGTCTGTGCGTGTGTGTGTGGTGGTGTGTGCTGTATGCGGTTGTGTGGTGTGTGTGGTGTCTGGATGTGGTGTGAGTGTCTGTATGCGTGTGTGCAGTGTCTGTATGCGTGTGGTGTGAGTGTCTGTATGCGTGTGTGTGTGCGAGTGTCTGTATGCGTGTGTGTGGTGTGCTGTATGCGTGTTGGGTGTGTGTGTTGAGTCTGTTGTGTGGAGTGTCTGTAGGGATGCGTTGTGTGGAGTGTCTGTATGCGTGTGTGTGTGTATGCGTGTGGTGTGAGTTGCGTGTTCGTGTGTGGTGTGATGTCTGTATGCGTGGTGTGTGTGAGTGTGTGTATGCGTGTGAGTGTCTGTATGTGGTGTGGTGTCTGTGATGCTGTATGTGTGAGTGTCTGTATGGGGTGTGTGGTGTGAGTGTCTGATGAGTGCGTGCTGTTGTGTGTGGTGTGAGTGTCTGTATGGTGTGTGAGTGTCTGTATGCGTGCGTGTGTGAGTGTCTGTATGCGTGTGTGTGTGAGTGTCTGTGTGAGTGTCTGGATGTGAGTGTGAGTGTCTGTAGGAGTGCGTGGTGTGTGTGTGTGGTCTGTATGCGTGTGTGTGTGTGAGTGTCTGTATGCGTGGTGTGTGTGAGTGTATGTGGGATGTCGTTGGTGTGTGTGTATGTGTGGTTCTGTATGGTGTGTGGTGTGTAGGTGTTGTATGGTTGGTGTGTGTGAGTGTTGCTGTGTGTTGATGGTTGAGTGTCTGTATGCGTGTGTGTTGTGATGTTGTTAGTGTGATGCGATGTGTTCTGTATGCGTGTGAGTGTTGTACGTGTTGTCATGCGTGTGTGTGTGATGTGAGTGTCTGTATGCTGTGTGGTGAGTGTCTGTATGGTGTTGTTTAGTGTCTGTATGCGTGTGTGGTGTGAGTGTGGTAGTGTCTGGTATGGCGTGTGTGTGTGTGAGTGTCTGTATGCGTGTGGTGTGTGGTGTGGAGTGTCTGTATGCGTGTGTGTAGGTGTTGTGTGAGTGTGAGTGTCTGTATGCATGTGTGTGTGTGAGTGTCTGTATGCGTGTGTGTGTGTGAGTGTCTGTATGCGTGTGTGTGGTGTTGTGTGTGAGTGTCTGTATGCTGTGTGTGTGAGGTCTGTATGTGCGTGCGTGTGTGAGTGTCTGTATGCGTGTGTGTGTGGTGTCTTGTGTGAGTGTCGTGTGTGAGTGTGAGTGTCTGTATGCGTTAGTGTCGTGTCTGTATGCGTGTGTGTGTGTGAGTGTCTGTATGCGATGTGTGTGTGTGAGTGTCTGTATGCGTGTGTGTGGTGTCTGTATGGGTGTGTGTGTGGTGGTGTCTGTATGCGTGTGTGTGTCTGTATGTGTGTGAGTGTCTGTATGTGTGTGTGAGTGTCTGTATGCGTGTTGGTGTGATGGTGTGTATGCGTTGTGTGTGAGTGTCTGTTGCGGTGTGTGGTGTCTGTATGCGTGGTGTGAGTGTCTGTATGCGTGTGTGAGTGTCTGTATGCGTGTGTGTGAGTGTCTGTTAGTGTGCGTGTGTGTGAGTGTCTGTATGCGTGTGGTGTTTTGAGTGTTGTATGCGAGTGTGTGTGTGGAGTGTCTGATGCGTTTTGTGTGTGGTGAGTGTCTGTATGCGTGTGGAGTGTCTGTATGCGTGTGTGTGTGTGTGAGTGTCTGTATGTGTGGTGTGAGTGTCTGTATGGTGTGTGTGTGAGTGTCTGTATGCGTGTGGTGTGAGTGTCCTGTATGCGTGTGTGTGTGAGTGTCTGTATGCGTGGTGCGTTGCGTGCTTGTGAGTGTCTGTATGCGTGTGTGAGTGTTGTATCTGTCGTGTGTGTGGTGTGTCTGTATGTGTGTGTTGTAGTGTTGCGTGTGTGTGTGTGGTGAGTGTCTGTATGCTGTGTGAGTGTCTGTATGCGTGGTTGTGTGTGGAGTGTCTGTAGGTGGTGTGAGTGTCTGTATCGTGTGTGTGTAGTGTCTGTATGCGTGTGTGTGAGTGTCTGTATGCGTGTGTGGTGTGAGTGTCTGTATGTTGCGTGTCGTGCGTGTGTGAGTGTCTGTATGGTGGTTGTGAGTGTCTGTATGCGTGTGTGAGTGTCTGTATGCGGTGTGGTGTGAGTGTCTGTATGGTGTGTGGTGTCGTATGCGTTTTGGTGTGTGGTGAGTGTCTGTATGGCGTGGTGTAGTGTTCGTATGCGTGTGTGTGTGTGTGAGTGTCTGGTGTTGTGGTGTGTGAGTGTCTGTATGTGAGTGTGGTCGAGTGTCTAGTTGTTGTGTGTGTGTGTAGTGTCCTGTATGCTGTTGGTGTGTGTGAGTGTCTGTAGTGTGTGTGTGTGTGTGTGAGTGTCTGTATGGTTGTGTGTGTGTGTGAGTGTCTGTATGCGTGTGTGTGTGTGAGTGTCTGTATGCGTGTGTGTGTGAGTGTCTGTATGCGTGTGTGTGAGTGTCTGTATGCGTGTGTGTGAGTGTCTGTATGCGGTGTGTTTGGTGTCTGTATGCTGATGTGTATGTGAGTGTCTGTATGCTGTGTGTGTGTGTGTGGTGAGTGTCTGTATGCGTGTGTGTGTGTCTGTATGCGTGTGTGTGTGTGAGTGTCTGTATGGTGTGTGTGTGGGTGTTGTGTGAGTGTCTGATGCGTGTGTTGTGGTGTGTCTGATGCGTGTGTGTGAGTGTCTGCATGCGTGTGTGTGAGTGTCTGCATGCGTGTGTGTGAGTGTCTGCATGCGTGTGTGTGAGTGTCTGCATGCGTGTGAGTGTCTGCATGCGTGTGTGTGAGTGTCTGTATGCGTGTGTGTGTGAGGTGTCTGTATCGTGTGTAGTGTCGTATGCGTGTGTGGTGTGATGTTGTATGCGTGTGTGAGTGTCTGTATGCGCTGTATGCGTGTGTGTGAGTGTTGTATGCGTGTGGTGTGTGGTGTCTGTATGGCGTGTGTGTGATGTCGTTGTGTGTGGTGTGTGAGTGTCTGTATGGGGTGTCTGTATGCGGTGTGGTGTCTGTATGCGTTGTGTGTTGAGTGTCTGTATGCGTGTGTGTGGGTGTGGTGTGAGTTCTGCATGCGTGTGTGTGTGTGTGTCTGATGCGTGTGTGTGAGGCTTGCATGCGTGTGGAGTGTCTGCATGCGTGTTGGTGCTGCATGCTTGAGTGTCTGATGCGTGTGTGTGAGTGTCTGTATGTTGTGTGTTTGATAGTGTCTGTATGCGTGTGTGAGTGTCCGTATGCGTGTGTGGTGGTGCTGTAGGTGTGAGTGTCTGTAGGTGTCTGTATGTGGTGTGAGTGTCTGTATGCGTGTGGTGTGTGTGTGTGTCTGTATGCGTGTGTGTGTGAGTGTCTGTATGCGTGTGTGAGTGTTGTTGGTGTCTGATGCGTGTGTGTGATGTCTGATGCGTGTGTGTGATGTCTGATGGTGTGTGTGAGGTCTTATGCGTGTGTGTGCTGACGTGTGGTGCTGATGCGGTGGGTATCGTGGTGTCGAGTGTCTGAGCGTGTGTGTGTGTTGTAGTGTCGATGGTGTGAGTGTCTGTATGCGTGTTGTGTGTGTGTTGTATGCGTGTGTTGGTGTTATAGTGTATTAGGTGTGGGATGTGTATGTGTTGAGGTCGTATGGTTGTGTCGATGTCGTTATGTGGTGGGTGAGTCTGAGGTGGTGTCGGGTGTTGTCGAGCGTTGTTGTGTGTCTAGGTGTGGGTTAGCTTGGTGAGGTCGATCGGTGTTTTGGGCTGAGTGGTGTGGTTCGACGGGGTGGGTGTAGTTGGGGTATCTGATTGTTGATGTTATTATTTAGGGGAGGGATTGGCCAATATGAAGGGCAGAGAAGTCTGAGACTGGTGTTATCCTTAGTAAAATGCCATGGACACAACATGACTGGGCGAAATAATGTGCATGAATGCATCAATACTTACTCTATTCATGCTGAAACAATCTACAACCACAAAGTGGTGAGCATTGAAAGACAGGCAAAAATGTCTGACAGTAGCTTTATCTAATGGGAGATAGATAGGAGAGGTTGAGGAGAGGTCTAGCCAATAGCGAGTAAATTACCTGTTGTTGGTTCTGCTGGTTCTGTCCTTGAGCCTGTTGATTGGCTGAGTTGCTGGCGGCTGCAGCCTGTTGCTGGAACAGATTGGCTGGATACACTCCCCATGGAGTTACCCCGTAGTACTGAGGAGGCATCACCGCTGGGCCTGAACACACACACGGTAAGTTGGTTGGCGCATGCAATGCCAGAATAGTGGGTTCGATTCCCGGGAGTATGCATATGTAAAAAGTATGCACGCATGACTGCAAGTCGCTAAATGGTGTATATATATATATATATATATATATATATATATATATATATATATATATCCATAGTACCTGGGAGGCATCGCCGCTGGACATGGAATAGAAATGGTAGGTGAGTGTGTGTGTGTATGGGTCTTACCCAGTGTTGCAGCAGCTGCCAGTCCTGCAGCGTAGGGGTCAGTTCCAGGTGGACCCGCACTGATGATGTAAGGGTTGGGAACAAAAGCGGGAGCCAGACCTGAAAACACACACAAAGAGAGGTCAGTAAGAGAGGAACACACCCAGTCCAAGAACAACTTTTTGTCACTGAATTACTGCCCAGGAATGGGTCAGCAGAGTATCATGTTTAACATGTCTTTCCCCTAAAACATACAAAACACGCACACACACACTCAGTCTCTTACCAATGTGAGATTGCTGTGCTGCTGCCAAGGCATACTGCTGCTGTTGAGCTGCTGTCAGCTGCTGCAGTGCTAGAGCATTGGGTCTCTGGAACAACTACACACACAAACTGGTTATTATATACAGTACCAGTCAAAAGTTTGGACACACCTTCTCATTCCTGTTTTTTTTTTTTTACAATTTTCTACATTGTAGAATAGTGAAGACATCAAAGCTATGAAATAACACATATGGAATCATGTAGTAACCAAAAAAGTGTTAAACAAATCAAAATATATTTTATATTTGAGATTCTTCAAACCGGTAATAATTTGTAGACTGCAAATTGACCGCAAGAAGCCCAAACATATATAATATTTGACTAAAACATAATCATTTCAAACCTTGCTTACATTTGAATACGATCACGTGTCTCTCTATTATGGGATGGAATACATGGGAACAGATTTCCAAAATTAAAATCACTTGGAGCTGATTTCCTGGTGTTTTTACAGTCTTTTAAGTTCAACAATAAAAAATTAAACAAAAACAACATTTTTGCTCAGAAAACTTGGGAGGGCAAATAAAAACACCCGTGGGCCGCAAGTTGGGGTGCCATAGTATATACACATATACACCTCTGCTGGTTGCCGTAGTCCAGCAGTCCATGGTGGTCGTCGTCATCTCTCACACACACACACACCTGTTGTTGGTTGCTGTAGTCAAACAGCCCCACGGTGGGCTGTGAGTCCATGGTCATCTGGGAGTTGTAGTCAAACTGCAGAGGCTCCATCACAGACTCCATGGTAGCCATAGTAACACCCTGTTCCACACCAGAGAAGTCCTCTTGGGGTTTGGGACCCCCGCCTCCTCCCATGGGGACCATACCCTCCCCTCCTACACCCACACACCCCCCTACACCCCCCATCATGTCAGTGTCTGGCCCCGCAGGTGGCATCTGGCCTTGACGACTGCAGAGAGCGGAAGAGAAGAGGGAACATGGTGAGATGTGTATGCCGGTGTGAATGTGTGTACACACACACACACACACAGAGTAAGAGAGTGTGTGTGTGTGTGTGGGTGTGTACCTGTACTCTTTGACGTCCACGTCCAGGCCGTTCTGCACAGGGAGCCCATTAGGGTTGATGACATCACTGATGACATCACCCTCACCCTCGACCATCTCCTTGAGTTTCTCTACTTCAAACACCTTCGGTTTCTCCCTATTCTCCTCCTCCACCTCTCCATCCCTCGGACCCTGTCAGAGAGAGAGAGACAGAGAGAGATGGATGGAGGGACAGATTGAGAACATTGTGATTGAGAGATTGATTAATGAAGTGACAGTGATACACAGTGATAAAAGTACGAGATCAAGAGATAAGTGTATGAAGGAATGAACCAGTGAGAGATCGAGGGAGTGCTAAACGAGACTACGTATGCAATATAACCTAGCGCAGGTAGGAGTCCAGGTTGTCAGTGATAAGAGTGGGTGAGTGTTGGTTATAGTGATAAAGGTATTGAATGATAGAATGTAAACGAGTTTAGGCTACTTACGTAGGGTCCCTTGCGGAGGCAGGAGTCCAGTTTCTCGGCGGGAGAGGAGGAGAGGACGTATTCTACCATACTGACCCCTAACCCCCCACTCTCTGACCGCGGTGACATCACTGACCCGCCCACCTCCCCGCCGCTATGGAACCCACCGCCCGGCCGACGGGACACCATGATTGGCTGAGACACCGAGTGGTCTGGAGGAGGAGAAAGAGCGTGCCCTACTGTCAGTCTCCAAACATGCACACATTTTGCTGGACACTGAGACTTTGGTGTGGTGACCCATTGGCGTTTCAATCCTGGGACACCCTCTGTCTTACCTGTGGCCCCCCACGCGCTGTCCCTCCACTGGTCCAGGAAGATCCCTTTTGGTCCGTCTTTCCCCGCTTCATCACTCTCCCAAAACTTCTTACCTGTCAGAAGCTGCTGTAGAGGAGAGGAGGGAGAGCGAGAGAGAAAGGGGAGGGAGGGAGAGAGAAAAAGGGGGAGGGAAAAGAGGGAAGAGAGAAAAAAGGGGAGGGAAGAAGAGAGAAGAAAAAGCGGGAGGGAAGGAAGAGAGAGGGCAAGAGCGAGAAAAAGGGGGAGGGAAAGGAGGAAAAAGGGGAGGGAAGAGAGAGAAAAAGGGGAGTGGGCGGGAGGGGGGAGAGCAGAGGGAAAAGGGTTGAGGGGAGGAGCGAGGGAGGGAGAAGAGAAAGGGGAGAGAAAGAAAGAAGAGGGGAGGAGAGATCCAAAGGGGAGGGAGGCAAAGAAAGAAAGGGGAGGGAAAAGAGAGAGAAAGGGACGCGGAGGGGAGAAAGAAAGAAAAAGAAGAGAAGGAGAGGAAAGAAAGCAACAGAAGAAACGAGAAAACGAGGAGAGAAGGGGAGGGGAAAGAACGGGGAGGAAGAGAGAGAAAGGGGAGGGGGAGAGAGAAAAAGGGGGGAGGAGGAAAGTGGAGGGGAGGGGAGAAAAGGGAGGGGGAGGGAAGAGAGAGAAAAAGGGGAGGAGAGAGAAAAGGGGAGGGGAAAAAGGGGAGAGAGGAGAAGGGAGACGGAGAGAGAGAAAGGGGAGGGGGCGGAGAGAAAGGGGAGGGGAGGAGAGAAGGGGAGGGAAGGGAAGAAGAGGAGAAAGAGTGGGAGGGAGAGAACGGGAAGGGAAAGAGAGAGAGAAGAGAGGAACGGGGGAGGAGAGGAGAGAAAGGGGGAGGGGGAAGAGAGAAAAGGGGAGGGGAGAGAGAGAAAGGGGAGGGGAAAGAGAGGGGAGGGGGAAGAGGGGAGGGGGGGAAGAGAGAAAGGGGAGGGAAGAAGAGAGAAGAAAGGGAGGGAAGGAGGAAAAGAAAGGGGAGGGGGGAGGAGAGAAAGGGGAGGGGAAAGGGGGAAAGGGGAGGGGAAGAGAGAAAGGGGAGGGGAGGGAGAGAGAGGAAAGGGGGAGGGGAGAGAGAGAAAGGGGAGGGGAGGAGAGAGAAGGGGGAGGGGAGAGAGAGAGAAAGGGGAGGGGAGGAGAGAAAGGGGAGGGGGAGAGAAAGGGGAGGGGAGAGAGAGAGAAAGGGGAGGGGGGGGAGAGAGAAAGGGGAGGGGAGGGAGAGAGAAAGGGGAGGGGAGAGAGAGAAAGAAAGAAGGGGGGAGAGAGAAAGGGGAGGGGAGAGAGAGAGAAAGGGGAGGGGAGGGAGAGAGAGAGAAAGGGGAGGGGAGAGAGAGAAAGGGGAGGGGAGGGGAGAGAAGAAAGGGGAGGGAGAGAGAGAAAGGGGAGGGGGAGAGAGAGAAAGGGGAAGTGTAAGGATATTTTCCTCTGAATTCCTTTGCTAAATGACAACCAAGATAACTGCTAGCTAACATTACAATGCTGAAGCTTCCTATTGCAGCAGGATGTTGTATGTCGGAACACTATTCTGGGACACGGTCTTCCTAACACCACCACCATCACATGGCCTTTGGTAAGCTGAGTGTCTATGGTCCTCAAACTACTTGACCTGTAACACCTGACCCCTTACCTCTCCCATGGCACGCCCCTCTAGGGCCAGAGCCTGGAAGTCATGGTTCAGCTCATCCATCGACCTCACCTACAGATAGAGACAAGACAAAAATTGTCAAAGACTCCAGCCACCCAAATCATAGACTGTTCTCTCTGCTACCGCACGGCAAGCGGTACCGGAGCGCCAAGTCTAGGTCCAAAAGGCTTCTTAACAGCTTCTACCCCCAAGCCATAAGACTCCTGAACAGCTAATCAAATGGCTACCCGGACTATTTGCATTGTACCCCCCACCCCCTCTTTTACGCTGCTGCTACTCTGTTTATTATCTATGCAGTCACTTTAACTCTACCCACATGTACATATTACCTCAATTACCTCAACTAACCGGTGCCCCCGCACATTGACTCTGTACCAGTACCCCTGTATATAGCCTCCCTACTGTTATTTTATTTTACTGCTGCTCTTTAATTATTCGTTATTTTTTACTTATCTATTTTTTTACTTAACACTTATTTTTCTTTAAACTGCATTGTTGGTTAAGGGCTTGTAAGTAAGCATTTCACTGTAAGGTCTACACCTGTTGTATTCGGCGTATGTGGTAAATAAAATTTGATTTGAAGTTTAGAGTAACACACACATACACACCCCAACAGAAAGACAAGGTTGAGCAACAAACACACCTACAGACACAGACAATGTTAGAGTACCACACATAATCACCCCTACTGAGAGCCAAGGTTATTACACACACCTAGTGCACCTATATAGAGAGGGGCAAGGTTACACACACACACAGAGAGACGGTCGGTAAAGACTAGGGCTATACACTCACACACATTAACCCGGACCATTTTCTGATTTTACACACACACACACACACCTAGTACCTGGCTGTCGTGGATGTTATCCCCAGTGGGCCAGCGGTGTTTCCCAGGCTGCTCCCCATGCTGCCGCTGGAAGAAGTAATCCACCATGGCATCATCCTGAGACCGACCAGCACCCGCCACGCCCTGCGACACAGGCACACTTAGCTAACGCCTCCGCCCGCGCCACTTTTGCACCAGAAACTATTAAATTTGTCTGCACGCCTGTCAGTCTGTGTAACATGTAATGTATAAAGAGGAGACCACATTTGTGTCTACCTACTATATGCATTTGTGTGTTTTTGTATCCGTCTCCACCTTTACCTGTTGGCTAGGGGACGGGGCATGTGGGGTCAGTCCGGCCGGGGGGGCGTGTCCTCCGCTGCTCAGCACCACGGGCATGCTGGGAGTTGAAGTTCTGAGGTGGGGGCTGAACGAGTCCTGCCAGAGCACTGCTTTACCCTTCAACACACACACACTGCTCATTCCACCAAGGCCTGTTGAAAAGAGGGAGACACACACACACCGTTAGTGACACACACACCTCATTCCAAACACACACGAGCTACACTCCTTAAAACACAATCTGGAACACACTTGCAGGGACTGCAATGAATCAACATTTATGTCCTCCAGCCAGTGGACTCAACTTCCACAACATAAATGACGACATATTCTAAGTCAGGGCTCTCCAACCCTGTTCCTGGAGAGCTACCGTCATGTAGTTTTTCGCTCCAACACAAATCTAACGCACCCGATTCTAATAATTAGCTGGTTGATAAGGTGAATCAGGTTAATTACAACTGGGGTTGGAGAAAACCTACAGGAGGGATTGGGAAAAAACCTACAGGAGGGATTGGAAAAAAACAATTTTTGAGAGGGACAGTCACTAATTTCATACCCAGCATTGTGCAAATCACCCACAGTGTCATAAATAATACACACACACAAACAAACAAACAAACAAAGCCCCAGCGCTAAGCTGGGGTCAAATTCCATCTCGACTTTACTTTGTCAATTCATGACTCTCGTCTGGGATTTCTATTTTCGATTCAACTGACAGACAAGAGTTTGAAATGGAACTGAAGCCTGACTCATTTACTTAGAAAAACCATGACATAACCACTAGCCCATTCCCTTTCAGTAGTTACAAATTATCTAAACCACGTGTCGAACTCATTCCACGGAGGGGCAAGTGTCTGCCGGTTTTCGCTCTTCCCTTGTACTTGATTGATTAATTAAGGTAATTGATAACTAAGGAACTCCCCTCACCTGGTTGTCTAGGTCTTAATTGAAAGGAAAAACCAAAAACCAGCAGACACTTGGCCCTCCCTGGAATGAGATTGACACCCCTGCTCTAAAGGTAGATAGGTAACGTAGGTGGGTAACATTAGAAGTCTGGTGTATTTCCTCTTATGTAGACCTCCATGACATGTTAGACAGAAACTCATTCTGATACAGTTTACTGTTCATGATTCTGCAGCAAATGCTTGCGTTGTGTCACATTTCAGGAGGCACGCCTGTTTCTTATACATGTTCTACTATGTGCTCAGCTGGCTTGGATACGTGAGCCTACTTATGTTCAACAACTGTTTTTAAAGGGCATCACTTGTCTTGATCAGTAGACCATAGGAACATTGACTACTGGGTTGTGCAACGTTCCTATACGATTATATTCTGTAGCAAACATGCTTTTCTAACTTGCAGAAAAAATATTCACGTCAGTTGTACTCATGACATCTGCAACATTCCACAACATTGTGTCCTGCTGAAAGTGGCCCAGCCAGGGGTGTATTCATTAGTCGCAGACCGTTGCAAAACGGTTTGCAACAGACAACAGTTTACTGTTTACTCTAGGAACCAAATGGAAGCAAACAGAACCAAACAGGGAGGGACCTACCTCAATTTTCCCAATAGAAACGCTTGTTTTCGTTACAAAACGTTTTTCCGCTTGGAGAAAACAGTTTCCAACAGCCTACACCTCAGGTGATGTGGATTCCACCCACTCAACAGACGAGGAGTGTTCAGTGGTAAGATACTTTCTATCTAGACAACCAGGTGGTCTGTTCAATGTTTCTGTTTCCATGTTTTATTTATAATTGAACCGCTTCAACCTCTGTCTGAATAATAAGGCCTGGTACTGCTACACAGATGGAGAAGAGGAGTATTAGGAAATACCACCTGAATCTGTCAAATCCCACAACACCTCTCTCTACCTCACACACACACCTCCATGGCTCCGAGGTGTCCACACACCTATCAACCACAGACACACATGACAATGAGCAGAAGCCTCCCAGCATTGAACTATGCCGTAACAAACACGCCCCCCTCTGCAGGTATCGTTAGCTAGCAAGCAAGCTAGCTCCTGCCATCTAGACAACACCGCTTCAAGACAACCACTTGAAATAAAAAAAATAATACTCCCAGTCTGTTTCGCATGAAAATAGCATAAAAATACGTTATTCCATGAAAGTAGATAACAGCGGTGTATGCCATGATAGAAAAGTCACGTTAGCAACCTATTTGGAAACACCCGGAAATCAGTAACACAGTCTCATGTTCATCACGCTCGAGTCGTTATGTTCGCCACCCGGAAATAGGCATTGTTGGCTATAACTGGGTTAATCCTTATTTAATACCTGGATCGATTATCACCGCGATATACTGTTCTGTCCACCCGTACCAGAACAACAAAAGCAGAACGTAGCTTTGTGTGCCATCTAGCTAGCTGTCAGTCGCTGAGGCACAACATCCAACAAGCTAACTAAACAAAACAACGAGGCCATTTAGACATGAAAATGGACGTAAGCAAAGATGTGGGTTTGTCTGATTTTGACATATAGCTAGTTAGCTGTGTTCTCCATGTAAGGTGTTCTCTAGGCGGCTAACGTTAACTAGCTTAAGTCGCATGCCACCCACGGAACTGGTTCCAGTGGCTAGCTACCCAATTACCAACAATACACGGCCTCCCAAGGCAGAGAACAGTTTAGCCCAGTCCGACACTGGCCAAACCCGGCCCCGACACCTCCTCTATCTGAGATAGCACACACCGGTGACCCGTTACTAGCACCGGGAGGGGCACGAGGCGAGCGCTGTCTGCCGTGCACTCGGGCTCTACAGGTCTCCATGACGCGGATGTAAGCTAGCTAACAAAGGCCTGAGCTGTCTGGCTAGAGCGGAAGACAGCAACACAACCGGAGGAGGCAGGGGAGGGAGGCGGCAACACAGCCGTTAAAATAACACCCCAAACTCTCGTTCCAGTCCGGTAAAGACAATACACCGGGCGATGTGTGGTTTGATCCGGCTAGAGGGTCTCTGTGCCCACGGAGAGGGCTACTTACAGGCGGAGAGGGCGGATGGTCGCAGATTTCAACCCCGGTTCTCTTTCCAGACTTCCAAGCTTTCACTCCGACAACATGGCGGCTCAGAGACAGGCAGACGCGCTGCATCATGGGAACGGAAGAGGGCGAGAGCGTGTGGTTCATTGCGCCAACCGTCTCACCACTGCCAGTCCTTTGTTATGTGGCTCTGTTGAAATGATGTTGTATTCTAACTCACAATCGGCAAAAATACAATAATAACCTAAACATAAAGTAATAAATATACTAATAATTAGGTATCGTGGTCTCTCACAAACAGTGGTTAGGTAAGTGTGGACAGTTTATTCACAGTCCCAGATCCCTGGGGCTGATGTTCCTCTATAATAAACATACTGCTATTCCGGTTGGTACAGCATGTTCAGGGGACCGTGACCGTAATGGATGGAGTCCAGACACAGCCATGGCAACGTGCTGAGCCACACACAGGCCCAGAGGGTGTTCGCGAGGCTGGATCTGGATGCTCTGCTAGACTGGTGGAACGTAAACGAACCAACAGCCATAGTGAAAAGTAAGGCTTAGCCTGTTACAACCAAATAAATTACCATTCAACCGTGAAGCTAGTCTAGTGTGTCACTGTCACTAGAATAAACTAAACCAAGGATGGGCAACTTTGATTGCGTGGGGGACACAAAAACCCTGAACGGTAATCAGACCATGATTGCTACAAGGTTAGATAGCTGGCTAGACTAAATCTTTTTTTTAAAAATATGCTGACATGGGCTCAGTGACTGACATAACAAGAAAAACACTGATGCACAACATTTCGAAATTGCACTATTGTTAGAATAGTAAAATGTATTCTACTATTCTAACTGAACAGTAGGTTGAGATCCCAAAATATTTTTTGTTCATTTTTGGGAGATGAATCCTCGGGAAACTAAATGCAGCAAAAAATGCATGGTCTATCATGGAAAATTATGCTACACTGAACAAAAATATAAATGCAACATGCAACAATTTTACAATTCATATAAGGAAATCAGTCAATTTTAAAAAATTAATTAGGCCCTAATCTATGGATTTCACATGACTGGGAATACAGATATAAATATGTTACTCACAGATACCTTTAAAAAAAAAAAGTAGGGGCATGGATCAGAAAACCAGTCAGTATCTGGTGTGACCACCATTTGCCTCATGCAGCGCGACACATCTCCTTTGCATAGAGTTGATCAGGCTGTTGATTGTGGCCTGTGGAATGTTGTCCCACTCTTCAATGGGTGTGCGAAGTTGCTGGATATTGGAGGGAACTGGAACACGCTGTCATACACGTCGATCCAGAGCATCCCAAACATACTCAATGGGTGACATGTCTGGTGAGTATGCAGGCCATGGAAGTGGGACATTTTCAGCTTCCAGGAATTGCTTACAGATCCTTGCGACATGGGGCCGTGCATTATCATGCTGAAACATGAGGTGATGGCGGCGGATGAATGGCATGACAATGGGCCTCAGGATCTCGTCACGGTATCTCTGTGCATTCAAAATGCCATGGATAAAATGCAATTGTGTTCGTTGTTCGTAGCTTATGCCTGCGCCATACCATAACCCCACCGCGGGGCACTCTGTTCACAATGTTGACATCAGCAAACCGCTCGCCTACACGACGCCATACACACTGCCATCTGCCAGGTACAGTTGAAACCTGGATTCATCCGTGAAGAGCACACCTCTCCAGCGTGCCAGTGGCCATCGAAGGTGAGCATTTTCCCACTGAATTCTGTTAAGATTCCAAACTGCATTCATGTCAAGACCCTGGTGAGGACGATGAGCACGCAGATGATTTTCCCCCAAAACAGTTTCTGACAGTTTGTGCAGAAATTATTCAGTTGTGCAAACCAACAGTTTCATCAGCTGTCCGGGTGGCTAGTCTCAGACAATCCCGCAGGTGAAGAAGCCGGATGTGGAGGTCCTGGGCTGGCGTGGTTACACATGGTCTGCGGTTGTGAGGCTGGTTGGACGGCCTCACGACATTGGAGGCAGCTTAGAATGGAGAAATTAACATTCAATTCTCTGGCAACAGCTCTGGTGGACATTCCTGCAGTCAGCATGCCAAAACTTGAGACACGTGTTATTGTGTTGTGTAACAAAACTGCACATTTTAGAGTGGCCTTTTATTGTCCTCAGCACAAGGTGCACCTGTGTAATGATCATGCTGTTTAATCAGCTTCTTGATATGCCACACCTGTCAGGTGGATGGATTATCTTGACAAAGGAGAAATGCTCACTAACAAGGATGTAAAAAAAATGTGTGCACACAAGTTGAGAGAAATAAGCTCTCTGTGAGTATGAAACCTTTCTAGGATCTACAGGTGTGTGTTTGTGTATAGACAACACCGGACTGATTTAATTTAGAAAGTTTATTTCTCCAAACCCTCCACACCCACATTTTTCCAAAACCCCCACACACCCCAATGTCTCCTTACACACACACATCTGTCTTACCCAAGTAAACCACTTCAGAAATACAGCCCTCCTATCCTCTCTTCCTTCCTGGAAATGCTCCCTGACCAGACCTATTGTATGTTGGTGAAATATATTCCGTTCATCAGGTCAGTGATACTGTATCTTTAGGGATGGAGGGAAGGAAAGAGGGAGTGAATGAAGTGTAAGGAGATAATAAAAGAAGGAAGGATAGTAGGGTGAGGGATGAAGCATTTCTAAAGTCATCAAGGAGGACTCTGGAGGATAATCTCAATTGCATACTCCTCACGTCCTCGCCTCCTTCTCAAAACCCATTGGATGAGAAAGCCAGAGGTCCCTCCCCTCGAACCTTCTCCTCCAATGGGTTTTGAGAAGGAGGCATGGAGAGAGGATGCGAGGAGTATGCAATTGAGATTCTCCCTGGGTCGTCAAAAAGGTGAGAGGAGAAACGTAGAGGGGCGTGGCTACACGATCACCCCCTCACCCCCAAACAAAAACAATAACCAATCATCAGCCAGATATGTACATGCACAGAATCCCCCACATCTTTACCCAGAGACACTAAAGCCCAATCCCTAACCCGTCCATAACAGATCACTTAACCAGGTGTACACGCAATCACACCAAAACCGCTTCTGCTTTTTTTCCGTGATTGTGTTTAAACAGGGTCACCCTGTCACAACAGAACTAGGGACAAGTTTGGAATTGGGCATTTGACTGTTCTATACAACATCACATTCTAAAACGACAACATGAAGAGCTGTGCCCTATGTGATGTCGAGGCCCCTTCCACAATAGTTCAGAGGTCATCCAGCTAGTCCTGTAGCGCCACACACACACACACAGGGGGTCCCAGGAGTGCAGAGAGCCGGTAGGTGCAGTGTCCTCTCAATATCCTCATTGTCCATTAGGATGTGACCACGCCCAGTGTCTACCCCCCCCCCCCCCCCCCCCCCCCGTTTCCCCCTAGAACTGCTGGTTCCTCCCTCTGTACATTCACATCAGGGGTGTCAGTCAGTTTACGCTCAGTTAACACATACACACACGGTTTCACATACACACTCAGGTGAGTCTATCGTTCAGTAAAACTGTGACACACAGAGTGAATGTTCTGTTCCCATGGTGACTCAGCTTTCCCGCTGAGGTGTTGACTGATAGGGGCGCCACCTTCACCTACCCAGCCCTGAAAGAGAGAGAATGATATACAGTTCCAAGGAAAACACAGGTCACACTAAAAAGTAGATATCTTTTGTTGAACCAATTCCCTCCCTAATGGTTAGGGTTCACCGCGAGGTTAAGGTTGAAAGGTTAGAGGTCTGGGGTTACCTACGTGTAGAGGGGCTGCAGTTGAAGGTGGGAGGTCTTCTGAGGAGGCTGGTAACCATAAGAGTCAAAGCCACCAATGAAATCAACTGAGAGAGGGAGAGAGATCAGAAGCAGACAGAGCACTCAGATGCAGTCGAAACACTGAGGCTGACGGAACACTCCGACAGACCAAAGACTGATGGAACACTAAGACAGACGGAACACCCAGACAGACGGAACACCCAGACAGACGGAACACCCAGACAGACGGAACACTGAGACAGACAGAATAAAGGTGAGCAACACTCACAGCTATCCTCGTCATCCTGGAAGACTTTGCTCACGTAGCAGGCATACACAATGCCAAAGAGCTGAGGGACAGATAGACAGGATAAGGTTAGTATCATGGTGTGTGGGTGTGTGTTTGTGTGTGTGTGAGATACTCACAGCCAGTAAGACCTGTAGTGCGGAGCTCAACACCTCAATGTACTGGTAGTCAAGGAGACAGCCGGAGACGGTGATGACATGGTGGTCATCAGGGGCGATGCGGGAGTCCAACACCGGCGTTACTAGGCAACCAGGGCCATGCTCCATCCACCAGGACCGATGCAGCGACGTGTTGAAAGTCATCAGGAAGTCCCTGTCCTACACACATATATACATTTTAAAACACATTATAAAAACAAATGTTATAAACACATTTTAAATACATAAACACATATTAATCAACATGTTATAAACAAACACACATCTCTTACCTGTGACAAGTGTCCCACCTCCAGGTAGAAACAGATGATGAAGGAGTTCCATCCCACCCACAGCACCAACCACACTGCATACTGACAGACACAGAGACAAAAAAGGGGTTAGTGTGTGTGTTATATATACACACTACATGACCAAAAGTATGTGGACACCTGCTCGTCAAACATCTCATTCCAAAATCATGGGCATTAATATGGAGTTGTTCCCCCCCTTTGCTGCTATAACAGCTTCATCCCAAAGGTGTTCAATGGTGTTGAGGTCAGGGTTCTGTGCAGGCCAGTCAAGTTCTTCCGATCTCGACAAACCATTTCTGTATGGACCTCGCTTTGTGCACGGGGAGCATTGTCATACTGAAACAGAAAAGGGCCTTCCCCAAACTGTTGCCACAAAGTTGGAAGCACAGAATCGTCTAGAATGTCAGTGTATGCTGTAGAGTTAACATTTCCCTTCACTGGAACTAAGGGGCCTAGCCCGAATCATGAAAAACAGCCCTAGACCATTATTCCTCCTCCACCAAACTTTACAGTTGGCACTACGCATTTCGGGCAGGTAGGGTTCTCCTGGCATCCGCCAAACCCAGATTTTTCAGTCGGACTGCCAGATGAAGCGTGATTCATCACTCCAGAGATCACGTTTCCACTGTTCCAGAGTCCAATGGCGGCAAGCTTTACACCACTCCAGCCGATGCTTAGCATGTGCATGGTGATCTTAGGCTTGTGTGCGGCTGCTCGGCCATGGAAACCCATTTCATGAAGCTCCCGACTAACAGTTATTGTGCTGACGTTGCTTCCAGAGGCAGTTTGGAACTCGGTAGTGAGTGCTGCAACCGAGGACAAACGATTCTTACGCGCTACGCGCTTCAGCACTTGGCGGTCACGTTCTGTGAGCTTGTGTGGTCTACCACTTCGTGGCTGAGCCGTTGTTGCTCCTAGACGTTTCCACTTCACACTGAGCTCTTCAGTGAGGCCATTCTACTGCCAATGTTTGTCTATGAAGATTGCATAGCTGTGTGCTCGATTTTTTAACCTGTCAGCAACGGGTGTGGCTGAAATAGCGAAATCCCTCATTTTAAGGGGTGTCCACATACTTTTGTATATATAGTGTATGTATGTCTCACCAGTATGAGGTAGCGGGATCTGAACTGCACGGTTCCAAAGATCCCCAGTATGACGGCCATGATGTGGAGGAAGTTGGCCAGGATAGGAGCCCACTGGTAGCCCAGGAAGTCAAACACCTGTCTCTGTAGTGCTGCCATCTACACACACACACATATATTTTTTCTAAATGAGTCCACTGGTACTTCTAGAGGATTGGCATGGTATTACATTGTTACAGTTTCACACGCAAACACACAGATAAGGAAACAACTGTCTTTCTCTCTCACACACACACACACCACACAGTCTGCCAGTTGTTTCCATGGAAACTGCCAGGAGCACCAACTGAGGGACTACATCACACACACACACACTAATAAACTCCCTAAACTACTGAAAATAAGCTGCATTCCCAAGAGCCCACTGTCACAATATATCACCAAAAAATGAACACACACATACAGCAACAATAGCACACCCCCACACACACATTATTCCTGTCAGAAAATAAAAAATGAAAATGTAAGTTGAGACAGAGGGATATAGAGCAGGAGGAAAGGAGAGAGGGATAGCAGATGTGGAGAGGAAAATAAGAGCTCCCTTGTTTTCCTGCTGTTACTTTCAAAAGCTGAAGGGTTCCTTTTCACGTGGTCTCCCAGAATACAGTGATCACCACACACACACACCGTGTGGTTGCCAATAATATGACACACACAGTTAGTAGTTTGAAATGCTTTTCAGTCAGTCAGACCATCTCTCTCAGACACACACACAGGTTCATTGAGTGAAAGAGAAAGGAACAGGGATAGAGAGTGAAAATATAAAGTGAAAATATGATCAACAACACCTTTTCTCATTCTCCCAATCACATTTCACCTCACCCCAACACACTCACCAGCTGCAGTGAACATATCGCCACCAGCGTGCATCTCCCGTCACAATTCCCCATCTTGGAGTGCTCTGGACGCGGCTTGGGGCCACACAGGCTCCGGGGAAAGGACGGGTGGTCACCGGTCAGATCCAGACTGGCTGCCCGACTCAGATCACACCATGCCCGCCAGACCTCGCCTGGATCCCGGCCTCCTGGTTCTTCTAGGTACGGAAGACTCCTTGAGACACGTTAATCACACCGACACCAACCCATCCCGACCCGCCGTGATCATTCTGTCGGTGTGGGTAGGTAAAGGTGGCTTTGGTTACCGGGGTGTCCTCTTCTTCACGCGCCGAGGTCTGCGGTCCGACCACTAGGTAACGATTACGAATCGCCTCGAGCCGGCCACACCTTCGGGTTGGTCGCAAAAGGAGGGGGGAGAGAACCACACAGACAGACACAAAGAAAAAAAAGACAGAAAGCTGTCATAACGGAGCAGGTCTCGCGGGTTAACGGGTATACATTAGCATAATATGACAATGGTCACACCAGGAGGGAGGGAGATAGAGGGAGAGAGGTATGAAATGAGCCGACGGAGGTGGCCAACTGCCTGGGCTGGCTAAATGAAATCTGCCATGCACCGACACACAGAAATCGGTTAATTGTGACTCACGGTTGGTTTTCAAGACGTTCGCGCTGCTTCCCCGTTCTCCGTCAACGGACGGTTAATCGGTAGTCCTCCGATGGCGTAATGCTAAAAAACAAGGCTCTCTTCTCCGTCTCGCGGTGTCTTTGTCAACAATCGGTGGTGCCTGCCGGGGGTGGGCGCGAGAAGGGGGGTCGAGGAGGGGGCAGCGCAAGCCCCCCTCATTTCAAATGAGGAACTGGGCCGTGTTACTTGATGGCGATCACTGATTTGACATGATGGGATTGGCAAAAGGAAAGAAGTGACCCACTAGATTGATTTTACCTTTCAAACCTTTTCAAATAAATGATAAGCTAAAAGGAGGAGAGGAAGGATGGAATTTTTAAGTAGTCTAACAGGGCCCCTGTATTCTGCGGACTGCTTGCGCGCGACCGCATGGGGAATCACCTCCAGCCTGCTTATTAGGCAGGATTTTAGGCGGCCGCCTAAACATAACGCCTCACGTAATTCTGCCTCAAAACAATGACAATTTCTCTCAACCAGTGGCATATGGGATTTTTATGTGAGCGCTGATGCCGCCATGAGATAAACAGTTCCCATTCTGTCAAAGGAAGGGGCGCAGAATATTTGGCTTGTCCATTCCCAGCGAGCCTCTCCAGGGTGCTGTTGGAGAGATGCATCGCTGCGGCGCTCCACCAACGTTCGGTCCAAAAAAACAACATCTATAGGATATGGTAGAACGAGTATGTGGCCTTTTCTGTAGCCTACAGGGTGGAAATAAAATGTATGACAATGTAATGAGACGGCCACATTTTACATCATGCAGGTTTCTCCGATCAAATAGCCCAACCTAAATGGCGCCCAATCAAGTAAAAAAAATGCGCTGTCATGTTAACAAACATATCCTAAAAACAGGACAGGTCAAAGTAAAATGGAAATTATATGGAATGGACAATCACAACTGTTGTCCAGGAGTTTCACCCCATTGTTATGATCAGTGGTTTCAAGTTTGTATCCATACATTTTTGACAACCTGGTCATAGCGAAAAAGAAAATATTTCTGCATTTCCCGATCTGTAAACACATTGCAAATAAGCTCACGATAACTCCTGATAAAGTTGGGTAACTGATATTCAGAGCTCAAATAGACAACTTGTTAGTTACAGGAATCAGGACTAATAAAGCCAATGCAAAGGCCTGTTTTACAAATAGTGGGCCTACCACATGGATGGGCATTCATAAAATTCCGTTGCGGCGGACATTGTGGCTACACCCTAGTACGCTAGAGCCGACGTCTTTTGGACGTCTTTTTTGTGTGTTTTACAAACGTTAGGCTTACCACATAAATGGGCATTCCAAAAATTAAATTTCAGGCAAAACCTCAGTAAGCACGTATTTTTTTGGTGCAGTCCGGACCGACCTTGACTTCCATATCCACGGATATTGATTTTTGTTCCGGTCCGTATTTCCAACGTCTTTAACGTAATTTTGCTTACTGCCACTATTGTAGTTTTTTTTTGAGGGGGCAGAACGGACAGGACCGGCCCTGTGGTGAATTGAACAGTGGACCGCGAGGCGTTCAGCAGAGACAAAAGAAACAGGACTAGCAGCGAAAAATTTTTTTTAACGGAATTAACAGAGAAATAAGAGTGAGAATAATACAATATCTAGGTCCATGCTCTATACTGGTAGGCAGCTACTGGTAAAATAATTTCAATACATATGTATTACTTAGATTGAGCAATCTAATTTGGATTTAACATTCTAAAACTCTCCTCAATTAAACTTTATGGCTATTTAAAACCCTATTTGGTTGTATTGCTGTGTTTATTAAGAGTGTCACTGTTTAAAAGGCCAGGCTTACATACTAATACTTTCAGAGTAAAGACATACACACAGCTTCAACAAGAACAGAAGAAACGGCAGAACAACATTTTCCCAGACGTAGTTTATTAAGAGAAATAAAAAAAATACAGGTGTTGGTTGTTGTGACTGGAAATTATAAACTCAAAATACTGTCTCTTGAGTTTGTTACTAAAGAAACAAAAGCATGTAAAGTACAGAGTACTGATCATTCACACAGGGGGGCTGCATCCATACACACAACAGAGCAGAACACACACACTCACACACTACACGCTCAGATGAACATACAATTGCCTTCTCTCTCACACGCGCTCTCACACACACGACAGTCCTACTGAATCTCTCCCATGTAGAGTCTCTTGTCACTGGCGCCAGAGAGGACTGTGGGAAAGTTAAAAAAAATAACACTATTAGAGAAAGGAGAAAATAAAGAACTAGAGAGAGAAAGACTAAGCACTCAATGGAAAAAAGCCATAGAAAGAGAGTGTGATTAGCCAGCCAAAAATAAACATAGAGTCCTCTCACCAATAGGTTCCTCAGGGTGGAAGGCAACCTCGTTGACTGACCCAGCGTGGCCTGGCAGCTTGTACAGGATCCTACGAGAGGTGGTGTCCCACACATACACAAACCTGGACACACACACACAGCTTATAAAGGATCATAAAAGAGGTGATTGGTGCATTTATGTTGAGGTTTTGTATTGCGGAGAGTGTGTGTGTGTGTGTGTGTGTGTTCACCTGTCAGCTGAGCCTGCTGCAATCTTGCTGCCGTCAGCAGACCAGGAACACCTCAGAAGGTTCTGCAGACACAGCAATGTATTATAAACAAAACCTATGCAGAGTGTATTAACATGATATAACCATGCTATAGCAGGCCACTAGGCTTATCAAACATGATATGAGCACAAATACTGACACTCACACTGAAAGTCTTCGTCCAGTTCTAAAATCAAAACACTTGAATCTCATACTCTCTGATCAAAAGTATTTTATTTACCTTCTCAAAGTTGTGAATGTTCCCCTGGAATATCTTCACACACCTCTCCTTGGGAGCGAACGGACGGACGTCCCAAATACGCACTACAGGACAACACACACAATTGTACACATAATCAAGTACTGTAAACACACAGAGAGAGGTTCAATCACACACAAACCTCTAAATCTGACACACCCACACACTGACCTGTGTTGTCCATGGAGTTGGAGAGGAGGTAGGATCCCTCTGAGCTCAGGCTGAGTCCAGTCAGAGAATCACCATGACCATGCATACTGTAGATTAGCTTATTCTGCCTCAGGTCCCACACCTACACAAGGGGTTAATCACTGTATGACACAGTAGCCTTGCCTCCTGGTAGGATCCAGGCCCGTAGCCACAAAGCATCTCAGAGTTGGAGTGCTGATTTAGGATCTGTTCATATAATCTTTTTCATTATGATCTAAAAGGCAAAACTAATCCTAGATCAGCACTCCTACTCTGAGATACTTTGTGGACACGGGCCCAGGTCTTTCTTTCACACATTCATACACACACATGTACCTTGATGTCATTGTCGATGCCTCCAGACAGGATCTGGTCGCTGGTGTCGTTGAATGTGACGGCCAACACCTGGTAGGTGTTCTGGAACGTATGGACCGCCCCCTTCTTACGGATGTCCCACAGCTACAACACACACACACTGTTAACAAACAACACCACAATATCCTAATTACGGTTGTCCTCCACTTACCACATTCAACCAACACTCAAAAAGTGCAGGGTGGGCTTTAGTTCCAGCCCAGTGTTAACACGCCTGATGCAATAAATACACTGCTCATAAGAGAACTTGATCAGGTAATCAGGCATGTTAGTAGTGCTGGAATGGACCTAAAGCATGCACACACAGTAGTTGTCTAGAACCAGGTTTGAAGAACACTGGCTTAATTAATGCAGTCTGTGGTAGGCATAGTTACCCTGACAGTTCCGTCGTCACTGCCGGTACAGACGAGCTGGGGTCCGCGGCGAGCAGGGTAGCAGGAGTTAACGAAGGAGGTGTGGCCTTTCAGACGCTTGATTCTCTCGCCCGTCTCACTGTCCCACACTCCCACTGTCTTATCTGTACTGGCACTGAACAGCAGGCTGCACACACACAGGTGGGGATAGGGTCGTTAAACACACGTGATATTGACCCAACGTTTAATCAACAACAGCAATCACACAACATGACGTTTTTGCCGGACCTGAGCGAGTGTGTGAATGTATATCCTACCTGCCGTCTGTGTTGTAGTGAATCTCCATCACAGCTCCACTGTGTCCCTTCAGGGTGGCAAAGTTATCACAGTCCCCATACACATTCCACATCACTGTAGAGAGAGAGGGAGATGGATGAGTGTTGTTGCCAGTTAGGTCAAGTCAGCGAGAGTAGTGTGTGTGTGTGTGTGTGTGTGTACATAGTGCCTTCGGAAAGTATTTAGACCCCTTGACTTTGTCCACATTTTCTTACGTTACAGCCTTATTCTAAACAGGATACAATTGTTTTCCTCCCCTCAATCTACAAAAAATACCCAATAATGACAAAGCAAAAACAGGTTTTTAGATATTTTTGCAAATGTATTAAAAATAAAAAAACTGAAATATGACATTTACATAAGTATTCAGACCCTTTACTCAGTCATTTGTTGAAGCACCTTTGGCAGCGATTACAGCCTCAAGTCTTCTTGGGTATTTTTATTTCACCTTTATTTAACCAGGTAAGCCAGTTGAGAACAAGTTCTCATTTATAACTGCCACCTGGCCAAGATGAAGCAAAGCAGTGCGGTAAAAAAACAAACAGAGTTACATATGGAATAAACAAAACGTACAGTCAATAACACAATAGAAGATCTATATACAGTGTGTGCAAATGTAGTAAGTTATGGAGGTAAGGCAATAAATAGGCTATAGTGCAAAATAATTACAATTTAGTATTAACACTGGAGTGATAGATGTGCAGAAGATGATGTGCAAATAGAGATACTGGGGTGCAAATGAGCAAAATAAATAACAATGTAAATAACAATATGGGGATGAGGTAGTTGGGTGGGCTAATTACAAATGGGCTGTGTACAGGTGCAGTGATCGGTAAGCTGCTCTGACAACTGATGCTTAAAGTTAGTGAGGGAGATAAGTGTCTTCAGCTGCAGAGATTTTTGCAGTTCGTTCCAGTCATTTGCAGCAGAGAACTGGAAGGAATGGCGCCAAAGGAGGTGTTGGCTTTGGGGATGACCAGTGAGATATACCTGCTGGAACGCATACTACGGGTGGGTGTTGCTATGGTGACCAATGATCTAAGATAAGGCGGGGATTTGCCTAGAAGTGATTTATAGATAACCTGGAGCCAGTGAGTTTGGCGACGAATATGTAGTGAGGGCCAGCCAATGATAGCGTACAGGTCACAATGGTGGGGAGTATATGGGGCTTTGGTGACAAAACGGATGGCACTGTGATAGACTACATCCAATTTGCTGAGTAGAGTGTTGGAGGCTATTTTGTAAATGACATCGCCGAAGTCAAGGATCGGTAGGATAGTCCGTTTTACGAGGGCATGTTTGGCAGCATGAGTGAAGGAGGCTTTGTTGCGAAATAGGAAGCCAATTCTATATTTAACTTTGGATTGGAGATGCTTAATGTGAGTCTGGAAGGAGAGTTCACGGTCTAACCAGACACCTAGGTATTTGTAGTTGTCCACATATTCTAAGTCAGACCCGCCAAGAGTAGTGATTCTAGTTGGGCAGGCGGGTGATTGAAGAGCATGCATTTAGTTTTACTAGCGTTTAAGAGCAGTTGAAGGCTACGGAAGGAGTGTTGTATGGCATTGAAGCTCGTTTGGAGTTTTGTTAACACAGTGTCCAATGAAGGGCCAGAAGTATACAAAATGGTGTCGTCTGCATAGAGGTGGATCTGAGAGTCACCAGCAGCAAGAGCGACATCATTGAGAATAGAATCGGCCCGAGAATTGAACCCTGTGGCACCCCCATAGAGACTGCCAGAGGTCCAGACAACAGGCCCTCTGATTTGACACATTGAACTCCATCTGAGAAGTAGTTGGTGAACCAGGCGAGGCAGTCATTTGAGAAACCAAGGCTATTTAGTCTGCTAATAAGAATGCGGAAATTGACAGTCGAAAGCCTTGGCCAGGTCGATGAAGACGGCTGCACAGTACTGTCTATTATCGATCGCGGTTATAATATCATTTAGGACCTTTAGCGTGGCTGAGGTGCACCCATGACCAGCTCGGAAACCAGATTGCATAGCGGAGAAGGTACGGTGGGATTCGAAATGGACGGTGATCTGTTTGTTAACTTGGCTTTCAAATACTTTCGAAAGGCAGGGCAGGATGGATATAGGTCTGTAACAGTTTGGATCTAGAGCGTCACCCCCTTTGAAGAGGGGGATGACCGCGGCAGCTTTCCAATCTCTGAGGATCTCAGATGATACGAAAGAGAGGTTGAACAAGCTAGTAATAGGGGTTGCTACAATTTCGGCTGCTAATTTTAGAAGGAAAGGGTCCAGATTGTCTAGCCCAGCTGATTTGTAGGGGTCCAGATTTTGCAGCTCTTTCAGAACATCAGCTATCGGAATTTGGGTGAAGGAGAAGCGGGCGGGCGGGCGGTGGCAGAACTGGTGGCCGGGGCAGGAGTAGCCAGGTGGAAAGCATGGTCAGCCGTAGCAAAATGCTTATTGAAATTCTCGATTATCGTAGATTTATCGGTGGTGACAGTGTTTCCTAGCCTCAGTGCAGTGGGCAGCTGGGAGGTGGTGCTCTTATTCTCCATGGACTTTAGTGTCCAGAGGACATTTCTCCAAAAAAGTACAATCTTTGTCCCCATGTGCAGTTGCAAACCGTAGTCTGGCTTTTCTATAGCGGTTTTGGAGCAGTGGCTTCTTCCTTGCTGAGCGGCATTTCAGGTTATGTCGATATTGGACTCGTTTTACTGTGGATATAGATACTTTTGTACCCGTTTCCTCCAGCATCTTCACAAGGTCCTTTGCTGTTGTTCTGGGATTGAGTTGCACTTTTCACACCAAAGTATGTTAATCTCTAGGAGACAGAACACGTCTCTTCCTGAGCGGTATGATGGCTGCGTGGTCCCATGGTGTTTATACTTGCGTACTATTGTTTGTACAGATGAACGTGGTACCTTCAGGCGTTTGGAAATTGCCCCCAAGGATGAACCAGACTTGTGGAGGTCTACAATTTTTTTTCTGAGGTCTTGGCTGGTTTCTTTTCATTTTTCCATGATGCCAAGCAAAAAGGCACCGAGTTTGAAGGTAGGCCTTGAAATACATCCACAGGTACACCTCCAATTGACTCAAATTATGTCAATTAGCCTATCAGAAGCTTCTAAAGCCATGACTTCTGACCCACTGGAATTGTGATACAGTGAATTATAAGTGAAATAATCTGTCTGTAAACAATTGTTGGAAAAATTACTTGTGTCATGCAAAGTATATGTCCTAACCGACTTGCCAAAACTATAGTTTGTTAACAAGAAGTCTGTGGAGTGGTTGAAAAAATAGTTTTAATGACTCCAACCTAAGTGTATGTAAAATTCCGACTTCAACTGTATATATATATATATATATACATATACACACACACATACAGTGGTGTGAAAAAGTGTTTGCCCCCTTCCTGATTTGTATGTTTGTCACACTTCAATGTTTCAGATCAAACACATTTAAATATTAGACAAAGATAACACAAGTAAACACAAAATGCAGTTTAGAAATGAAGGTTGTTATTATTAAGGGAAAACAAAATCCAAACCCACATGGCCCTGTGTGAAAAAGTGATTACATTTACATGTACGTCATTTAGCAGACGCTCTTATCCAGAGCGACTTACAAATAGGTGCATTCACCTTATAGCCAGTGGGATAACGACTTTACAATTATTATTATTTTATTTTTTATTATTACAACCTAATAACTGGTTGGGCCACCCTTAGCAGCAACAACTGCAATCAAGCTTTTGCGATAATTTGCAATGAGTCTTTTACAGCGCTGTGGAGGAATTTTGGCCCGCTCATCGTCGCAGAATTGCTGTAATTCAGCCACATTGGAGGGTTTTCGAGCATGAACTGCCTTTTTAAAGGTCATGCCACAGCATCTCAATAGGATTCAGGTCAGGACTTTGACTAGGCCACTCCAAAGTCTTCATTTTGTTTTTCTTCAGCCATTCAGAGGTGGACTTGCTGGTGTGTTTTGGATCATTGTCCTGCTGCAGAACCCAAGTTCGCTTCAGCTTGAGGTCAAACAGATGGCCGGACATTCGCCTTCAGGATTTTTTTGGTAGACAGCAGAATTCATGGTTCCATTTATCACAGAAAGTCTTCCAGGTCCTGAAGCAGCAAAACAGGCCCAGACCATCACACTACCACCACCATATTTAACTGTTGGTTCTTTTTCTGAAATGCGGTGTTACTTTTACACCAGATGTAATGGGACACACACCTTGCAAAAAGTTAAACTTTTGTCTCGTCAGTCCACAGAGTATTTTCCCAAAGGTCTTGGGGATCATCAAGATGTTTTCTGGCAAAAATGAGACGAGCCTTAATGTTATTTTTGCTCAGCAGTGGTTTTCGTCTTGGAACTCTGCCATGCAGGTCATTTTTGCCCAGTGTCTTTCCTATGGTGGAGTCATGAACACTGACCTTAACTGAGGCAAGTGAGGCCTGCAGCTCTTTGGATGTTGTTGTGGGGTCTTTTGTGACCTCTTGGATGAGTCGTCGCTGCGCTCTTGGGGTAATTTTGGTCGGCCGGCCACTCCTGGGAAGGTTCACCACTGTTCCATGTTTTCGCCATTTGTGGATAATGGCTCTCACTGTGGTTCGCTGGAGTCCCAAAGCCTTAGAAGTGGCTTTAAAACTTTTTCCAGACTGATGGATCTCAATTACTTTCTCTCATTTGTTCCTGAATTTCTTTGGATCTCGGCATGATGTCTAGCTTTTGAGGATCTTTTGGTCTACTTCACTTTGTCAGGCAGGTCCTATTTAAGTGATTCCTTGATTGAGAACAGGTGTGGCAGTAATCAGGCCTGGGTGTGGCTAGAGGAATTGAACTCAGGTGTGATAAACCACAGTTGAGTTGTGTTATAACGGGGGGCAAACACTTTTTCACACAGGGCCATGTAGGTTTGGATTTTGTTTTCCCTTAATAATAACAACCTTCATTTCAAAACTGGATTTTGTGTTTACTTGTGTTATCTTTGACTAATATTTAAATTTGTTTGATGATCTGAAACATTTAAGTGTGACAAACATGCAAACAAATCAGGAAGGGGGCAAACACTTTTTCACACCACTGTGTGTGTGTGTGTGTGTGTGTGTGTATATATATATACTCAATACATTTAAAAAAAAATGTAACTCACAGATGAGCCTGTCATAGCCAGAGGAGGCCAATGTGGCCCCGTTGGGGTGGAACTTGCAGCAGTAGACCTCGCCCTCATGGCCACACATCAGCATGATGGGAGCTTGCAGGCTGGAGTTGCGGGGAGGGCCCTGGAGAGGGGACATGTTAGATTAGATCATCATAGCACACTGTCACAGGCACGTGCACACACAGGACTATTCTCAGAGCGTTACTGTATGTGCATGGATCACTTACAATCCTGGTATCGATTAAACTACAGTCGTGGTCAAAAGTTGAGAATTACACAAGTATTGTCTTCACAAAGTTCGCTGCTTCAGTGTTATGAGATATTGTCCACCCGCCTCTTGAGGATCGACCACAAGTTCTCAATGGGATTAAGGTCTGGGGAGTTTCCTGGCCATGGACCCAACATTTCTATTTTTTGTTCCCCGAGCCACTTAGTTATCACTTTTGCCTTATGGCAAGGTGCTCCATCATGCTGGAAAAGGCATTGGTCGTCACCAAACTGTTCTTGGATGGTTGGGAGAAGTTGCTCTCGGAGGATGTGTTGGTACCATTCTTTATTCATGACTGTGTTCTTAGGCAAAATTGTGAGTGAGCCCACTCCCTTGGCTGAGAAGCAACCCCACACATGAATGGTCTCAGGATGCTTTACTGTTGGCATGACACAGGACTGATGGTAGCGCTCACCTTGTCTTCTCCGGACAAGGTGTTTTCCGGATGCCCCAATCGGAAAGGGGATTCATCAGAGAACATGACTTTACCCCAGTCCTCAGCATTCCAATCCCCGTACCTTCTGCAGAATATCAGTATGTCCCTGATGTTTTTCCTGGAGAGAAGTGGCTTCTTTGCTGCCCTTCTTGACACCAGGCCATCCTCCAAAAGTCTTCGCCTCACTGTGCGTGCAGATGCACTCACACCTGCCTGCTGCCATTCCTGAGCAAGCTCTGCACTGGTGGTGCCCCGATCCCGCAGCTGAATCAACTTTAGGAGACGGTCCTGGCGCTTGCTGGACTTTCTTGGGCGCCCTGACGCCTTTTTCACAACAATTGAACCTCTCTCCTTGAAGTTCTTGATGATCCGACAAATGGTTGATTTAGGTGCAATCTTACTAGCAGCAATATCCTTGGCTGTGAAGCCCTTTTTGTGCAAAGCAATGATGACGGCACGTGTTTCCTTACAGTTAACCATGGTTAACAGAGGAAGAACAATGATTTCAAGCACCACCCTCCTTTTAAAGCTTCCAGTCTGTTACTCTAACTCATCCAGTCTGTTATTCTAACTCAATCAACATGACAGAGTGATCTCCAGCCTTGTCCTCGTCAACACTCTCACCTGTGTTAACGAGAGAATCACTGACATGATGGCAGCTGGTCCTTTTGTGGCAGGGCTGAAATGCAGTGGAAATGTTTTTTGGGGATTAAATTCATTTTCATGGCAAAGAGGGACTTTGCAATTAATTGCAATTCATCTAGTCACTCTTCATGACATTCTGGAGTATAGCCAATTGCCATCATCAAAACTGAGGCAGCAGACTTTGTGAAAATTAGTATTTGTGTCATTCCCAAAACGTTTGACCACGACTGTAGCTGATAAAGTAAAGTGAGCCGAGCTGGGCTAATTCTACTTGCTAACTAGCTATCAAAATGAGTTTTCTGCTAGCAGTATTTGCATTGGATAGCCTTAGGTAGCAAACAAGTCAATATCTCAGTCACAGCTTATCAAAGCGGCAATTGAGGTGATTTGCCGGTTACTAGTTGAAAGACTGAAAACATTGATAGTTAACAACTCTCTGAAGCTAACTAGCGAAATTGTTGTATTTTGATGTCCCCCCTCATTTCTTACCATGGCCACGATCTGTTGCGACTGTGCCGCGGCGATCAGCTCGGTCCTGGGCCTCTTGACTCCGCCGGCAGGAACCAAAGCCATGTCCCCCGGTCTCTTCTTTGGCTCAATCATGGTTTAACAACTCAATGAACACGATTTAGTATAATATGAATCGACTTAAATTAATGAACTTCTTTCGACAAACGGCTTTCGAAACAAGTACGAAGTGAAGAGCGGCGTGAAGTACTTCCGGTTTTCAGGGCGATTGATTGGTTCTCCGCTCCTCTGTTAACGATGATTGGTTATTGCGGTTGTTGACCATGGCCCTTGAACCGGAAGAAAACAACAAGACTACAAAAATAAATACTCGGCACACAAGGTAGCTATAACTTATAATAATGTTTATATAAACGTGTGTAGATGCGGGTTAAGATTTGATGGCTACATATATCTCTATAAGAAGTGTATATAAGTATATTTTTAGTGGAATTTGGCCCTTGTCTAAAGTAGGGAAAGCTAACAACGCCAAGGCTACTAGCCATAGGCTATATAAGCTCGCTAGCCTAGCTAACTAGCTAGCCAATCTACTGCTTCAAAACTGTAGCCGAAGACTAGGCAGAAAACCATAAACAACAAAAGGTAAAACGCTAGTTTTATCTGCTACATTTTGAATCAGTTTGCCACCCTCAGCAACATACTGCTTGTTTGCAAAGTTACATAGGCTGTTTATAGTAGCTAGTCGACCCCAGAGCCAGCCATGTATTCTATACTGTATGCATAGCTATTAAACATATTGCTTAGTCAGACTCTGTTCCAGCTGGCTGATAAACAATGTGTACGCCACCATCTTTTTTCTTTTTCAAATATTGTCTCATTGATTGAGACAGGTGGGTGTCCACCCCAAAGTGCTGTACGTCATGATGACACTCGCCTGTCTCGATCAATGAGAGGAACATTTGAAATAGACAAGATGGCGGTGTAAACATTGTTGGAATACTTCATGTAGCAATAAATGGATTGCATTTAATAACAGAGCATTTTCTAAATTCAAACAAACCCTCTGCAACTAGACATGGACGTTTAAAAGTGTCTTCCAAGTCAGGAATTGAGAAAGTATTGGCAAGTTAAGGTTGGTAGAAAATTCTGTGCTACGCCAAACAGTACCTAACCTGTAACAGCTAATGGAGCATCACATAAGCCTGTTACCATCTGCTAGCAAATCAGATCAGTGATTACTCCAAACAACGCATTAAGAAGGAGGAAGGGTACACAGTTTCAAAGCAGAGTGACAAAATACATAACCAGGCTTATTCAGTGGGGTGCAACATTACAGAATATTTAGATTTTGCACCCAGTCTTTGCATGATGATCATCTCCTAACCTAATCCAGTGGTCCTCCTGTGTGTCTGCAGGGAGAGAGTTATCCTGTGAGGCGCCATCATCATCATGGCAGACTTTGACCATGACCAGCAGGAGCCTGCAGGACTAGATGGCTTGCCAGCCATGTACAGTATCGTGAAGGGAGAGGTGGCTTCTGTACAGACCTACGGAGCCTTCATCAAGATTCCTGGCTACAGGAAGCAGGGTAGGCTTAAGGCATCAGCATGCTTCAGTTCGGCTGGCGCCTTGAACGAGTGTGCTTGCATACTCCCTTAAAAGACCTTAGCTTGGAAAACGAGAAAAAAGCAGCAATAGTACTGTTTGTCCATTTTGAGACGCTGTAGCCAGTATACTTCCTCAAAATAGTCAGAATTAATCTAATATAACTCAAGAAATCTTTAATTAATTTGGAGATCTTAGTCTCGCAATTTTACATCTAATTAAGATGTTTGGTGCATTATTTCTCAAAGAAAAAATGTGCATGAAAACGAGTTGTCTCTTGTTGAATGACAACAAAGACTTTATTGAAGAATCCCTACTGTTGCCCAATCACTGACGAAGTGGCGTAGACTTTGGCTCCCGAACTTCGGCTGGCCTCGAGAGAGAAAATGTGTGTGCCAAACAGCATGATATATGCACGAACTCTTCCGAAATGTTTCGGCTGGGTAGCATGCGGACACCTTTGGGCATCTTTCACTTTACAATGTCTTTGACTTTGTGATCTCTTTGTGTTGCTTTGTGATGTCTTTCTGTTTTATAATATCTTTGTCTGTTTTGAGTATTACGGTTTCTGCTGAGGCACTACTCTTACTCTTTCTCCTAATTTTTTTCTACCTCTTCCCCTTCTCTCTATCTCTCCCACTTTCTCTCTTCTCGCTGTCTCTCAGGGTTGGTCCATATCAGTGAGTTGTCAGCCTGTAGGGTTGAGAATGTTGCAGAAGTCGTCGATGTGGGAGAGCAGGTGTGGATCAAGGTCATCGGGAGAGAGGTAACACGCTGACACATACACACAAACAAACTCCATCTCTCCCTAATGAACAAATTATTTTGAACATGTCCTTACCTCTCCCTCCCTCCATCTTTCTAAGATGCGTGATGACAAGGTTAAGCTCTCCTTCTCAATGAAAGCTGTCAATCAAGGAACAGGGAAAGACCTGGACCCCAACAATGTCATAGCAGAGTATGTATTTGTCTGGGTGCACTGATACGATGATTGGCTATTGCTGTTGTTTTCAATTTTGTGTGTGTGTGTCTGCGCGCGCATGTGTGTGCAGGCAGGATGAGCGGAGGCGTAGACAGTTCAAAGATGGTACAGGACGGAGGATCACATTGGAGGCTGTACTCAACACCACCTGTAAGAAGTGTGGCTGCAAAGGTACGACATTACTGCAACATAAACACCAGGGATGGGGGGGTTAGAAATATTTTCGCTATTCGAATAGTATCATGAATTTCTCGGATATTGAAAACTTGAGCGCTCTATTGCTGCAGCTGTGAGCAGACGGAGGAATAGGGAGAGACTCAAAGGCAACTCGGCTACAGCCATGACTAGCTAACATGTAGCAGCCACAATGTTATTTATCATCCCATATAACAGTGCCTGTCTTGACTGGAGTAGCCTAGAGAAGCTAGCTAGCTACGCTAATTGAGGCCACATGCTGCGCTTTCTCCCCAACCCCATTCAGATAAAACAGCCTACCTGTTGGTTGCTCATTGTAGCCTACTCCTTCTCATTTCGCTAACTTTTAATTCCGTAATTTTATTCCATCTTGCATTGCATTAGTGAATTCTCACTCCACTTGCTACACATTGAGCCGCTTTGATTGGCCAACATAAACAACAAGCTACACAGGTGAAGGCTGCCGGTCTGTTTATGGGGCGTACAGTGCACATCATAACAACCACATTGAAAAGTTTGTTTTATTAAATTAATAATTTGAAATGTCCTTGTATGTAACAATGTCACACAGGTATTTTATCACAAAAATGAATAGTATTCGAGTAGTAATGTCTGTTTGGATATTCAAATAACCGTTCATATTCCTAATGAACACATTCTTTCAAGACAAACGAATTCAACTAATCCTGAAGACCTTCAATCAATCCTTGAATTATGTGTGTTTGGAACTGGACTGGAATAAAAGCCTCTACACACTGGCCGCTGTTGCTTACCTCCACCCTAATGTAGCGTATTATGTTTCTCTCTAGCTCTCTCATCTCGCTCTCACTCTCTCTCTCAGGTCTCTTTGCTAAGGACTGTTTATCGCTCTCAGGTCTATTTGCTAAGGACTGTTTATCGCTCTCAGGTCTATTTGCTAAGGACTGTTTATCGCTCTCAGGTCTCTTTGCTAAGGACTGTTTATCGCTCTCAGGTCTATTTGCTAAGGACTGTTTATCGCTCTCAGGTCTATTTGCTAAGGACTGTTTATCGCTCTCAGGTCTCTTTGCTAAGGACTGTTTATCGCTCTCAGGTCTCTTTGCTAAGGACTGTTTATCGCTCTCAGGTCTATTTGCTAAGGACTGTTTCTAGCTCTCTCTCAGGTCACTTTGCTAAAGACTGTTTCTCTCTCTCTCTCTCTCAGGGCACTTTGCTAAGGACTGTTTCTCGGCCCCAGGGCTGCAGTATGATCTGATACCTGAGGAGGGCGATGATGAGCCACAGCAGCTACAGAAAGAGCCTATCAACCCCAACCTCATCCCACTAGCAGTCCGCAAAACCCAACCTCCACAGGACTCACACAAGAAGAAGAAGAAGGAGAAAAAAGAGAAGAAGGTAAGGACCACAGAGTGAAATAGAACACAAGGTTTTATATTCTCCATGGTAAGGATTGATTGACGCCAGTGGTACGTGTCAATAGTCTACAGGGTGTCTCTCTCTCAATTCAAAGGGCTTTATTGGCATGGGAAACATATGTTTACATTGCCAAAGCAAGTGAAATAGATAATAAACACAAGTGAAATAAACAATCAAATATGAACAGTAAACATTACACTCACAAGTTTCAAAGGAAAATATACATTTCAAATGTCATATTATGGCTATATACAGCGTTACATGCAAATAGTAATATTACATTTTAGTCATTTAGCAGACGCTCTTATCCAGAGCGACTTACAGTTAGTGAATACATTTTTTATTTAATTTTGTCATACTGGTCCCCCGTGGGAATCGAACCCACAACCCTGGCGTTGCAATCGCCATGCTCTATCAACTGAGCTACATCCCTGCCGGCCATTCCCTCCCCTACCCTGGACAACGCTAGGCCAATTGTGCGCTGCCCATGAGTCTCCCGGTCGCGGCCGGCTGGATCTCTAGTGGCACAGCTAGCACTGCGATGCAGTGCCTTAGACCACTGCGCCACTCAGGAACCCATAATTATGGGTTGTATTTACAATGGTGTTTGTTCTTCACTGGTTGCCCTTTTCTTGTGGCAACAGGTCACAAATCTTGCTGCTGTGATTGCACAGCAATATTTCACACATTAGATATGGGAGTTTATTGGATTTGTTTTGGTTTCCTTTGTGGGTCTGTGTAATCTAAGGGAAATATGTCTCTCTAGTATGGTCATACATACATACATACATACATACATACATACATACATACATACATACATACATACATACATACATACATACGTACGTACAGGAAGTGCAGCTCAGTTGCCACCTCAGGTAGCTTAGTGGTTAAGAGCGTTGTGCCAGTAACCGAAAGGTCGCTGGTTCTAATCCCCGAGCCGACTAGGTGAAAAATCTGTCGATGTGCCCTTGAGCAAGGCACTTAACCCTAATTGCTCATGTAAGTTGCTCTGGATAAGAGCATCTGCTAAATGACTAAAATGTAAATGTAAATTTTGTGGGCAGTGTGCACATATCCTGTTTTCTCTTGAGAGCCAGGTCTGCCTACGGCGGTCTGTCTCTCGTGTGAGGTATTTATCACTCCTGTAAAATGTAACACTTGGGGTAACACCCCTTGGTGACCATGATTGTCTCTCTGTCCTGAGAGAAGTTACATCAGTGACACATTGCAGAATAACCAACATATCTTCCAACATTTTAAATAGATGATTAATGTAGTGATACTGATATACAATTCTAGCAGTGTGATTCTTTCTTGTCTTTAATTGTTTCTCTCTCCTCCCCTTTCCTCAGGAGAAGAAGGGGGAGAAGAAGAAGAAAAAGAAGAGGAAGAGAGAGAGGAAGGAGTCAGATAGTGACAGCAGCAGCAGTGGACCCAGTCAGGCCAAGAGAGGGCGCCATGACGACAGAGAGGACAGAAAGAAGAAGAAACACAAGAAACACAAGTCCCACAAACACATCTGAGACTGATCTGACGGACTGACACACATACATTGCACTAAACACACACAACTTACACTGTAAACATACATACACACAGTTATACTGTGAATACACGCAAATTACACTGTACGCACACACACACAGCGTAGACTTGGATGGACACACACACAAGTTGACACAACAGTCAGTTCTCTTGCCCCTACCGTCTGACGCATGCAGATCCATAGAAACCTGATGGGTATTAGCAATATGGCTGCTTCCCTGAGCCCATCGGAACGCTAAGTATACATTACACCTATCCATTCCCTCAGCTCTACCATTAACACTGAAGAGGTTAGTGTTGTTTTCAGACCAGGCCTACAGTAAAGGTGTCTCAGATCTCACAACACCTGGATACGTTTTTAATATCTCAGGAGCCGCATCAATATGATATGAAGACATGGTAATCTGTGCAGGCCTGTGCTGTGTTAGTAATACGTGTATCTGGAACCAGTCCACCTGTCCTCACTGGCCAGGTTAGACGCATGACATACACTACATGACCAAAAGTATGTGGACACCTGCTCGTCGAACATCTCATTCCAAAATCATGGGCATTAATATGGAGATGGTTCCCCCCCTTTGCTGCTATAACAGCCTCTACTCTTCTGGGAAGACTTTCCACTAGATGTTGGAACATTGCTGCGGGGACTTTCTTCCATTCAGCCACAAGAGCATAGGTGAGGTCGGGCACTGATGTTGGGCAATTAGGCCTGGCTCACAGTCTGCGTTCCAATTCATCCCAAAGGTGTTCGATGGGGTTGAGGTCAGGGCTCTGTGCAGGCCAGTCAAGTTCTTCCACACCGATCTCGACAAACCACGGGGGCATTGTCATGCTGAAACAGGAATGGGCCTTCCCCAAACTGTTGCCACAAATTTGGAAGCACAGAATCGTCTAGAATGTCATTGTATGCTGTAGCGTTAAGACTTCCCTTCACTGGAACTAAGGGGCCTAGCCCGAACGATGAAAAACAGCCCCAGACCATAATAATAATAATATGCCATTTAGCAGACGCTTTTATCCAAAGCGACTTACAGTCATGCTTGCATAATTTTTTTTGTGTATGGGTGGTCCCGGGGATCGAACCCACTACCTTGGCGTTACAAGCGCCGTGCTCTACCAGCTGAGCTACAGAGGACCATTATTCCTCCTCCACCAAACTTTACAGTTGGCACTATGCATTTGGGCAGGTAGCGTTCTCCTGGCATCTGCCAAACCCAGATTTGTCCGTCGGACTGCCAGATGGTGAAGCGTGATTCATCACTCCAGAGAACGCGTTTCCACTGCTCCAGAGTCCAATGGTGGCGAGCTTTACACCACTCCAATCGACGCTTGGCATTGCACATGGTGATCTTAGGCTTGTGTGCGGCTGCTTGGACATGGGAACCCATTTCATGAAGCTCCCGACAAACAGTTATTGTGTTGACGTTGCTTACAGAGGCAGTTTGGAACTTTGTAGTGAGGACAGATGATGTTTACGTGCTACACGTTTCAGCGCTCGGTAGTCCCATTCTGTGAGCTTGTGTGGCCTACCACTTCGCAGCTGAGCCGTTATTGCTCCTAGTCATTTCTACTTGACAATAACAGCACTTACAGTTTACCGGGGCAGCTCTAGCAGGGCAGAAATTTTACGAACTGACTTGTTGGAACGGTGGCATCCTATTACGGTGCCACGTTGAAAGTCACTGAGCTCTTCAGTAAGGCCATTTTACTGCCAATCTTTGTCTGTGGAGACTGCATGGCTGTGTGCTCGATTGTATACACCTGTCAGCAACGGGTGTGGCTGAAATAGCCGAATCCACTAATTTGAAGGGGTGTTCACATACTTTTTTATATATATATATATATATATTGTACATATATCAAAGCAACACACACAGGAAGTGGTAAAGCCATAAAGAGGAAGTGTATGTATTACAGGAGATTCCCTAAAAACACGCCACTTCGATACAGCTATGACCGGAAGTGACTTTTTTGTAGCAGGTTAGGAGAATAAGGTTAGGAAAAGGGTTAGGTTTAGAGAAAATGCTCTACTAACCTACTACGAAAAGTCACCTCCGGTCATAGCTGTATGGAAGTGGTGTGTTTTTAGGGAGTCCCGATCAAACTTACAGGAACCTCATGCTTGAGATATCCTGTTGGTACACGCCCCTTATTGTGTGTGTGTGTGTGTGTGTGTACACGCGTGCTCTGCAACCATGTCACCCAGTTCCTGAAGGTGTGTGTAACATGGTCCATATTCCTGTATGCAAACTATGTTGGTCTTTATTAAAGATTTGAACAGTCAAGTGTTTCATGGTCCGTGCGGTCACAAAGCGTTCACGAAGCAGAGCTTTGCTCCAGTCTGGCTTGGTAGTTTATGGTCATGTTGATTTTGAGTTGTTCATTTGAATGGTTTTGTTCGAGTTTCTGATTATGTTGTAGGGTGTGGTCTTAGCAAGCACCAGTCTGTCTGTTCCATGTTGCGGTCATAGTGTGTGTGCGTAGGGGTCAGTGTGAGGTGTCCTGTACTGCATGTCCTCTGTCCCTGGTTGGCATCCTGTCTGCAACACATGATACCAGTCTACACAAGCCAAGAATGCGCCCAAATTAGAACACACACTCATAACCCAGGACACACACACCTACGCAGCCAGGCACCAATCACAATTTATGTTCACCTAGGAGGCCCTGGTGGCACACACATACTGAGGTTGGTCTATAATTATTTCCCCGTGATGCTCTGTGTAAACCTAGTTAAGATGGAAACTTGTCGCTGGTTTGGAACTGCTATAATTGTCCCACAAGTCAACTCCCCTTCCCTGAGCCACACATACAGCCATAACTACTCAGAAATGGGTCAAAGTGGAAAGGTTTTTACATGGTGTTGTGGCAACACACACACACACTGCCTTGATCTGTCGGAGGAGCCATGTGCTGTTTCCCCACAGAAGCATCCGATCGCAGCTTGGCACAAAATGGCTGCTGTGCCCCAGCCAGATGGCTGCTACTACTGTAACACGTGATGAGCCATTTGGCACAAAATGGTTGCCACACAACGTTGATAGATGAGTTGACTTTCCTCCAGGCCAATGGCAAGATTCCTGGTGTTTAGGTGCGGTACCCAGTGTTGTAACCAATGATTTATATATACACAATGGTTTATATACAATATTGGTTGTCATGGTTATTGTGAGGTGATTGACAGAGAAGAACTTGGGACATTTTAGAGAAAAAAAACATAAGTGGAATTTATTCAGTGTTTCATACAGAATAGAAGCACTACAAAGAGAAGGACTGGACAACAGGAGTCGGCAGGGGTTCGGTCAGACTGGTTAGAGGTCGTTGGGGGTCAGGGGTAGGGTTGTTTTTTGGGGGGCAGGTGTGGCAAAGGGTAGTGGAGTTTTTGGGTGGATGTTGTCACTCGGCCTTGACGTAGGAGCGTGTGGAGATGACGTCACCCAGAGTCAGAGTCTTCGGAGAAGAGCGAAGAGTATAGTTAGATATACAGTATACACATTGATTTATATATAGATTTTTTTATACATACACACATGTATGTATGTATGTATGTATGTATGTATGTATGTATGTATGTGTGTATATATATATATATGTACACAAAAACACACTCGGTACTAACCAGTTCGAGGGCGTTGCCGCTGACTTCGCGGACCAGAGTGGTCTCCTTGCCGTCCCACTTTTGCACGTGAACCATCTTACCACCGTCTACCGTTATTAGGGACTAGAGAGAGAGAGATATGTTACAAACACATACTGGGAAAAACTGGAGGCGATAAGAAGATACAATCTACTACTAAAGGTGAGTTTGAGACTGTGGTGAATGTGTGTGTAATAGCAGATAAAGAACGGATTTGACTGCACTTTAAACAGAGTTAGCCTACAGTATGTAACGTGTGGCCACCTATCAAGAGTTGACTTGAGGCTACTAGACACGCGTACACACACGTCACAGATTCTGCAGAGGCTGCCCCTCCTTGCTCGGGCAGGCTTCGGCGTTCGTCGTCACCGGAATACTAGCTGCTGCCGATCTATGTTCTATGTTTCACCTGTTGTCTATTGTTACACACCTGTTGCCCATTATGTGATTACTCCTTCCCTATTTAACCCAGTGGCTCCCAATGTGTTTTGTGAGTGTTTGTTTTTCGTTGCGTGTGTCGTTGGTGAGCGGGTTACTTCCTCCCTGTGTGGAGGTGTTCTGTATTGTTGTCTTTACTTCTACAGTAAAGTACGTTTCATAGAGTTCTGTGTCCTGCGCCTGACTTCGATCCACCGCATTACATTGACACTCGTGACAGAAACACGCACCATATATGGAGTCAAAAGGTGTGTAACAATAGACAACAGGTGAAACATAGAACATAGATCTGCAGCAGCTAGTATTCCGGTGACGACGAACGCCGAAGCCTGCCCGAGCAAGTAGGAGGGGCAGCCTCGGCAGAATCCGTGACAACACATCACGAGTAACTATTCCTCAACAATAAGACATTGTGTGTGTCTCTCTGTTCTCTTTTTCACTCAGATCCTGCTTAGTAGCCTTTTTTCTCTCTCTCTGATTCATGTAGCAGCTGTCTCCGCTCACACCGCTACAACTCATCATCCTTGACCTCTTACCTTTGACTCCTCAACCCACTAAACATTTCAAGGCCTCTGTCACTGTTTGTCTGTTTGACTCAGTTAGTTTTTAAATAATTTGCTCTCTTACGCAACCCTGGATGTCATGGCAGATACAACCATTACCTATAATCCATCATACTTAAACTCTAGCCTCTGACCTCTCACCCCATTATAAGTATACACACTCATGACAACTCTTACAATGTATTATAACTACATAATAATGTAATATAGCTGTAAAGTGTAACGTGTTAGCCATAAAAATGAGTGTAAAGTGTTATCAATAAAAACATAGTTATGACACCCACCATATAGTATGACTATAATCATCAGCTAGCCATCTAGGACTTAAGGCAGTTCGTTTTTAAGCACTCCTGACTACCTGGACCTGTATTCACTAAGTGTCTCAGCATCCTGATCTAGGATCAGGTCCTCCCTGTCCATATAGTCTTATTAATGATGATCTAAAAGGCAAAGCTGATCCTATATCAGCACTCTGACTCTGAGACGCTTTGTGAATACAGGCCCTTAACCCTGACATCTTACCTTGACCTTCCTGTCGTCGGCGGTGGTCTCGTCGAACTCCTGTCCTAGTTTGAAGGTGATCTCGGTGTTCTTGAAGGTGCTCTGTGTCTTTAGAGTGACTGTGTCTCCAGCTACCTCGATGATGGTGGTGGGCTTGGTCATACCGCCAACCTGGCGTGTCGCAAAGCCCACACCTGTCAATCAAAAACACATCACAAGTTAACACTTCAGATTCCATCTGGATAAGAATATTATAGCCTACTATCTCATATTATAGCCTGACTATCACATCTTGATTAGAAATACTACTGCTGCTGCCAATACAGCCCCACCCTTACTGTTGACATTCATTTCTAAAGAAAAATGCAATGCACGCACCCATGCACGAAAACACTTTTGGGGTTAATGATGTGTGACTGACTGTTTTCAAGCCCATAAAAACTCCTTGTGACTATTTAAAAAAACAAAAACATTTTTAGTCATTTAGCAGACGCTCTTATCCAGAGCGACTTACAGTTAGTGAGTGCATACATTTGTTGTGTGAAAAAAATCATACTGGCCCCCCATGGGAATTGAACCCACAACCCTGGCGTTGCAAGCGCCATGCTCTACCAACTGAGCTACAGCTATGGTGTGACCTATAGGTAAATAAATAAAAAGGTACACATGAAGTGAACAGTCTTTAGACCAGACAGTGCACTGCAGCACTTATTGATCTGTTCTGTTTGTGTAAACTGACTGCTGATCGGGCTGATATAACTGCATCTAATTACCACTAGTATCTCTATTTTATGTGTTCTTTAAACATTCAGCAAACGTCATCAGACCCAGCTGTGTGTGATCAGTTCTAGAGTACTTTCCTTCTCCCCTGAACTAAAGTAATGTTTATCTCCCAAGGCTAATAGTGACACAGTCACACAATCCATACAGCTAGTTTGTGTCACCTGCCTGAGTGATCAGGAGAGTTGGTTGTGGGTCATTACTATGGTGACGAGCAGAGAGGTCGAAGCTAATAACCCCAGGGGTCACGCACACTATGTTAATATTAAAACCCTCCTCACAACGCTAGCCTCAAAAAAGGAACGCTCTTTCAGAGAATTTCACCCCCTATGTGTGTGTGCAGCTCAGACCACAAAGAGTTTCTCGCAGTAGGGGCATTGTCCCCCCCCCCCCCCCCCCAATTCAAACAGAGAGAGCGAGAGAGACAGCAGCAAGATTTGTGACCTGTTGCCTCAAGAAAAGGGCAACCAGTGAAGAACAAACACCGTTGTAAATACAACCCATATGTTTATTTATTTTCCCCTTTGTAGTTAGCTATTTTCATAGCGTTACAACACTGTATATAGACATAATATAACATTTGAAATGTCTCTATTCCTTTGGAAGTTTTTTTAGTGCAATGTTTACTATTTTTTATTTCACATTTGTTTTATCTATTTCACTTGCTTTGGCAATGTACCACTTTTTCCCATGTCAATAAAGCCCATTGAATTGAGTCCCCCCCCCCCCTCCCACTAACTCCATGTGATCAACCCCCCCCCCCACCGCTAACTCCATGTGGTCACCAACTCTCTCCCCCCCTACCACTAACTCCATGTGGTCACCAACTCTCTCCCCCCCTACCACTAACTCCATGTGGTCAACCACTCTCTCCCCCCCCTACCACTAACTCCATGTGGTCAACCACTGTCTCCCCCCTACCACTAACTCCATGTGGTCACCAACTCTCTCCCCCCGCCTACCACTAACTCCATGTGGTCACCAACTCTTCCCCCCCCCCCCACCACTAACTCCATGTGATCAACCACTCTCTCCCTGGCTTTCTTTATCTACCTCCCTCTCTGGCTCTGTTCCTACTTCTCCATCTTTCATCCAACCTCCCTCTCTTTCTCTCCCTCTCTCCTTCTGTCAATTTCCCTCTCTTCCTTCTCTCTCTATTTGCATGTGTCCAACACACACCCTGTTTTTTATGAAGCTTAGCATTAACCATTTAAACATGCATGCTCTGCTACTTACACGCACACACATGTGAGCACCCACACACCAGTGGAGGCTGCTGAGGGGAGGACGGCTCATAATAATGGCTGGAATGGAATGGTATCAAACACATGAAACCCATGTGTTTGATGCCATTCCATTCACTCCATTCCGTCCATTATTATGAGCCGTCCTCCCCTCAGCAGCCTCCACTGCCACACACACATATGAGAGCGTGCACAAATACACACGCCTGCATGTGTGTGTATTTTTGGGCATATATGTGTATTTGTGAGCTCGTGTGTGTCACACACTCGTGTTCACAAGCACACATCAGCACAAAAACACACGTGGGTGCACACAAACACACACCTTTAAGTATTCATGAACACTCACACCCTTCTCACAAGTGCACACATGCACCCACAGGGAGGCACACCCCATCCTTTACCACTACCGTTACACCACAAACACACACGCTGCTCACCCAGAGCCTTCATGTATTCGTCAAAGTTCTTGCTGTCCTTCAGGTTCCATGTGCCTGCGAATGCCTCAGCCATGTTGTTAGCAGTGGTGTGAAGGAATGAGAGAGAGGGAGTAAGAGAGCAGAAACAGAATGAGAGAGAGAGGGACAGAGAGACTGCTATGCTGCAATCCTACTGGTCGGTTTTATACCGGCTGTTCGTGATGTCATCACTCTGAGCGGGGAGAGGAGGGAAGGGGGAGGGGGAGGGAGAGGAGGGAAGGGGGAGGGGGAGGGAGAGGAGGTGAGAGAATACAAAGACAGAGAGACAGGAGGGGCAGGGGGATATTAAGGAGTCCAGCATGAAGAATAAAAGAGAGTAAAAAAAGAGGAGTGGGGGAGGGGAGAGTAGAAGAACATGTTGCTCCAGTCAGAAAGAGAGAGAGAACGAGGGGGGAAAGAGGGAGGAAGCGAGAGAGGGAGGGGTGATGATTGATTTGGGGTGAAGGTCGGGGGGAACGACATGGACATTTTCTCTCTTTCTATTTCTCTCTTGTTCTCTCCATCGTTCTCTCTCTCATTCTCTCCCCCTCTCTCTCCCTCTCTCTCCCCCATCTGACCTCCCTCTGGTCAACAACCTCACTCTAATTATTCACTCAACAGAAAAAGAGACAAAGATAGAGAAAGAGTGTGTGTGTATGTGGTTACCAGCAACAGAGTGACACACTGACCAGGAGTCAGAACTTGCCTCCCTGTAATGATATACAGTGGATTATACACTGCTCAAAAAAATAAAGGGAACACTAAAATAACACATCCTAGATCTGAATGAATGAAATAATCTTATTAAATACTTTTTTCTTTACATAGTTGAATGTGCTGACAACAAAATCACACAAAAATTATCAATGGAAATCAAATGTATCAACCCATGGAGGTCTGGATTTGGAGTCACCCTCAAAATTAAAGTGGAAAACCACACTACAGGCTGATCCAACGTTGATGTAATGTCCTTAAAACAAGTCAAAATGAGGCTCAGTAGTGTGTGTGGCCTCCACGTGCCTGTATGACCTCCCTACAACTCCTGGACAGTCTGTGGTGCAACGTGGCGTTGGTGGATGGAGCGAGACATGATGTCCCAGATGTGCTCAATTGGATTCAGGTCTGGGGAACGGGCGGGCCAGTCCATAGCATCAATGCCTTCCTCTTGCAGGAACTGCTGACACACTCCAGCCACATGAGGTCTAGCATTGTCTTGCATTAGGAGGAACCCAGGGCCAACCGCACCAGCATATGGTCTCACAAGGTGTCTGAGGATCTCATCTCGGTACCTAATGGCAGTCAGGCTACCTCTGGCGAGCACATGGAGGGCTGTGCGGCCCCCCAAAGAAATGGCACCCCACACCATGACTGACCCACCACCAAACCGATCATGCTGGAGGATGTTGCAGGCAGCAGAACGTTCTCCACGGCGTCTCCAGACTCTGTCACGTCTGTCACATGTGCTCAGTGTGAACCTGCTTTCATCTGTGAAGAGCACAGGGGGCCAGTGGCGAATTTGCCAATCTTGGTGTTCTCTGGCAAATGCCAAACGTCCTGCACGGTGTTGGGCTGTAAGCACAACCCCCACCTGTGTACGTCGGGCCCTCATACCACCCTCATGGAGTCTGTTTCTGACCGTTTGAGCAGACACATGCACATTTGTGGCCTGCTGGAGGTCATTTTGCAGGGCTCTGGCAGTGCTCCTCCTGCTCCTCCTTGCACAAAGGCGGAGGTAGCAGTCCTGCTGCTGGGTTGTTGCCTTCCTATGGCCTCCTCCACGTCTCCTGATGTACTGGCCTGTCTCCTGGTAGCGCCTCCATGCTCTGGACACTACGCTGACAGACACAGCAAACCTTCTTGCCACAGCTCACATTGATGTGCCATCCTGGATGAGCTGCACTACCTGAGCCACTTGTGTGGGTTGTAGACTCCGTCTCATGCTACCACTAGAGTGAAAGCACCGCCAGCATTCAAAAGTGACCAAAACATCAGCCAGGAAGCATAGGAACTGAGAAGTGGTCTGTGGTCACCACCTGCAAAACCAGTCCTTTATTGGGGGTGTCTTGCTAATTGCCTATAATTTCCACCTGTTGTCTATTCCATTTGCACAACAGCATGTGACATGTACATGGGGCGGCAGGTAGCTTAGTGGTTAAGAGCGTTGTGCCAGTAACCGAAAGGTCGCTGGTTCTAATCCCCGAGCCAACTAGGTGAAAAATCTGTCGATGTGCCCTTGAGCAAGGCACTTAACCCTAATTGCTCCTGTAAGTCGCTCTGGATAAAAGCGTCTGCTAAATGACTAAAATGTAAATGTATTGTCAATCAGTGTTGCTTCCTAAGTGGACAGTTTGATTTCACAGAAGTGTGATTGACTTGGAGTTACATTGTGTTGTTTAAGTGTTCCCTTTATTTTTTTGAGCAGTGTAGTTGGATGTACAAATGTACAGTACCAGTATAAATATATCTAAATGCAGAGAGGTGGGGGTTCCTGGGACGGTAGAAGGGTAGAGGAGATAAGAGCCTGGAGAGTAATGGGGGAGGGAGGGGCGGGGTGTAGATGGCTGAGAGTGGGAAGTGGCAAGGGGGGTGGGTCCTGGTGATTTATGGGCTTTTGTGAGTCAAACTGGTTTAGTTTATTCAGCAGTGAATGGTTGTCTGCTGCCCAGGGGGCTTTTGGTTTGTAGTTGGTGATCTGTTTATTCCTTTCCAGACAGACATGCAGTAATTGCTTGAGAACTGCTGCTCTAACCTGACTTTGTAGGGGAGGGTGGGGTAAGTTGAGACCCAACCCTTGTTTCTAGGAAACCATACACAAAATTAATAATTTTACCAAATATTTAGGAAGAGTTCCTCATTTCATGGAGTCTGTGAAGGAAGAAACCACAAGGTCCAAAAAACAGATTTTCACCAAGTCAAATTCATTTATTGTGTTAGAGGTTTCATGATGCTTGTATCTACACCAAAGTAGATAAATTGGGATCTCTAGAAACTTCAATATGAGGTCCTAAACCTAGTTGTAGCTAGTTGTAGCTGTGTGGGCTAATATAGTTTAAAAAATGTGCATTGGAACAGAAAATGGAAAAATATGACCTGGTCATCACGTAATCAGAACCATCAACTTATACATTTTAAGTTTGTTCACAGACTGTATTTAACACCAAGGAAACGTTTTACAATGAAATTGGCTACAACTCCCAACTGTGTCCCCAAAATCAGGAAGGCACTTTCTTTCATATGATGTGGGAGTACCCTGCAGTTAAATGCTTCTGGGACTAAGTTACAAAATTCATTTAGAAGTGCATGAATGTAAATATTATATGCTTTGCATCTACTATGTTACTAAGCGATGATAGTGCCTTGAACCTCTCAATAAATCAGTACTACTGGCAGGCAGCACTACCGCAAAAATGATGTTGGCTCTTAGATGGCAATCACCTTACTCTCTCCCAATTCGCCAGTGGATACAGTTACTATTAGAGGTTATAACAGAATTATCGACAGAGAGAATGAATTGTGCTAGTCAAGAAACGAATGAGGCCTGGACAAATACACTTGACTCTGTAAAGAATAATCTCAGCTCAAGCCCAACACAACTAACAAGCAACCCAAGTTGCTGGTGGGGGGTGGAAAACATGGTTTCCTGGGGGGGGGGGCTTGAGCTGAGATTAAAGTGATTGTGATTGTGTTACCCTGTCCTGCAGCACAATTTATCCCGTCCCCGGGGTAAGTTGTGCCACTAGAGATCCTGGTTCGAATCCAGGCTCTGTCATAGCCGGCCGCGACCGGGAGACCAATGGGGCGGCGCGCAATTGGCCCAGCGTCGTCAAAGGTAGGGGAGGGAATGGCCTGCAGGGATGTAGCTCAGTTGATAGAGCATGGCGTTTGCAACGCCAGGGTTTGATTCCCACAGGGGGTATGAAAAAAAAAAAAAAAAAAGTATTCATTAACTGTAAGTCGCTCTGGATAAGAGCGTCTGCTAAATGACTAAAATGTAAAATGTAAATGTAAAAAATACCACTATCCCACTTGTCACACACTGGTTGAATCAACGTTGTATCCACCTAATTTAAATGAAATTACATTGAACCAATGTGGAATAGACGTCTGTGCCCAGTGGGATGTTTTCAAAACTGTAATGTTTACAGGAATTTTGATTATTTCCAGGGATACACAACATACTGAAAAATATGTAGATCCAGTATATTTGTTAGAAAGAATACTATTCCCTTGACGGAGTGATGCTGATTGTAAAAAATGGCTCAACTTACCCCACTCTCCCCTACTACTGGTAGCCTAGTGGTTAAGAGTGTTGAAATAATAATAAATAAATAATTGGTCATTTAGCAGACGCTCTTATCCAGAGCGACTTACAGGAGCAATTAGGGTTAAGTGCCTTGCTCAAGGGCACATCGACAGATTTTTCACCTAGTCGGCTCGGGGATTAGAACCAGCGACCTTTCGGTTACTGGCACAACGCTCTTAACCACTAAGCTACCTGCCGCCCTAGTTACCGAATAAGTTGAGCCAGTTACCGAATAAGTTGCTGGTTTGAACCCCCCGAGATGACTAGGTGAAAAATCTGTTGATGTGCCCTTGAGCAAGGCACTTAACCCTAATTGCTGCATTAGTAAGTCGCTCTGGATAAGATTGTCTGGTAAATGTAAAATGTTGTTTAGCTGCCTTAATTCCTGATATAGAGGTCTCTGTTCTTGCTCCTGTGGAACCACGGCTTGTTGTTTCTCTCTCTCTCTCTCTCTTACACACGCACACAAACACATCGGCATGCGCACGCACACACACGTCTCTCAGACTGTCTATGTGTCTTAGGAAATATTGTCTTTAGCCAATAATGAGGCAACCAACTCCACTGGTTGTGTAAGGGACAGACAAATGGACAGACAAACACACTCACACACACACTCACAGAGGCTCGCTCTGAAACACCCCAAAAGTTCAATACAATACAGTCAGTTCCATTTCAATTCAGGAGATTACAATAATTTAATTGAAGAACTGAATTTAAATTCAAATTCTAGAAATGAAAAAGGCTATACAGTGCAACTATTCAGACCCCTTCACTTTTTCCACATTTTGTTACGTTACAGCCTTATTCTAAAATGGATTAAATACATTGTTTTCCTCATCAATCTACACACAATACCCCATAATGACAAAGCGAAAACTGGTTTTTAGACATTTTTGCCAATTTAACAGAAATG